CTGCACTTCAGAAATTCTTGAACGCTATCATGGAACAAATTGAAGACGTTGAAGCGCCGACAATCGACGAAGTGCGAATCATCATGAGGAATGTCCTGGGCATCCAAAGTCCAGTGACCACACCACAACAATCCTTCCATGTCATCATCCGCAATATGCTGGATGTCAAATTCCGTCCACCAGTCATGTATGGATTGGAAAGCATGACCGATGAAATGGAGAAATCCATCACCGAATGCTTGGAGGTGAGTTATTTAAGTTATGACTTGCGGTCTTCGGAATGAGGGAGGGATTTTTAAACATTTTCTGATCGCCTTAACGCATATATCTACAGTATCTTGAACGTCATCCCCTCATTTTCTGCTTAGATTATGTTAGTCCATTTATCTGTTACTCCTTCCGTTTGTGCGATCCTTCGAAGGCCATTTCGAATCGTCATTTCTCATGGCGGTATATTTTGTACTGTATATCCTTCAGAGACGATGCAGTTATAGAACTTATTGATTCCGCCAATCATTATAAATCAGTCATGAAAGATTCCCTGACAATTCGCACTGCAACAACTTGCACAGTGTGAAGTCACACAGCAGCAACTTGCACAGTTTTTCTCTTCCCTGTCAAACTTTTGTTGTTTTAAATTTAGGTTCAGGCAAATATGTATACTCTTGTGTCTGGATTCTCTTCTGTCCTGAATTGATTGAATGCATTTTTCATTTTCTTGATTTACAAAATGAGGCTTGAGAACATGAATAATGTCAAGCTCAACTTGTCCATGGAAATCTCTTGTAGAGGAACATTATCCTGTTCATCTTTGATTATTTTTCAATATTTGTGTTGTCAATCTAGTCAAGGATAATCCTGACGCATGTGTAAATCCATGTTCTGCCTAGGAATTGAGCCCCCAGTCTTTTTTATGGCTCTCAGAATGTACATCCCCCCCCCCCCCCCAAGTTACTGATCAACTGTCATGTGCCGATTAAGTTTGGCAAAACAAAAAATGAGGCATCTCTTACTTGAAATTTCAGGATGTTGAAATGAAATTGGTAAATTTTTGTCCATCTGCTGAACGTAACACAAATAATCTTTCACTGCTCCGCTCATAAATTTGGCTTATTGATTTTCAAATTTCATTTCACAATCCCTTCAGAGAACCCCTCTTAAATCATTTGAAATCAAAGTACAATCAAATGATACTTGTATCAATAACTGGGTGATAAAAATCCAGATTCATCTGTGACCATGAAAATGACAAGGGGCTCAATTCCTGGACGGAACATGAATTGATGCATGCCTCAGAATTATCCTTGGCTAGATTGACAACAGAAGTATTGGAAAAAATTGAGCATGAAGAGAATCATGTTCCCCCATTAGAGTTTTCCATGGACAAGTTCAGCTTGGCATTTTTTATGTTATCTAGCCCAATTTTGTAAACTTAGAAAATGAAAACTGCATACAATTAATTTACAACAGAAGAGTATCTAGACACAGGAAACATGCATATTTGCCTGAACCTAAATTTAAAACAGCATAAGTTTAGTACGGAAAAAGAGAAACTATGTGAGTTGTAGCACTGTGCCAGTTGTTGCTGTGTGACTCATGGTCACTGCAAGTTGTTGCTTGTGACTCATGGTCACTGTGCAAGTTGCTGTCTTGTGAGACGTGTCCTGTAACCAATGAGGATGCATTCCCAGTTACAGTGTATTCATTTGTCTTTGCAAAAATTATTACACCTTTCCTTCTGGCTCAAATAAAAGCGTGTAATTTTCTAAATCTCAATTTTTCCTCGAATTTTTTTTTTACACCAAGGTCCTCGATGCCTTTCCAAAATTGAGGACCACTGTTCAGGATTTAATGATCGCAGAACTGAGGAAAAATCAGGGCGATTGTCAAGCTTATCTGACAACCTTCATGAAGTTGGAGGCGATATATCCGAATTTCAATCACCCGGAGTTCGTCCGCAAGTAAGTAATCATTCCATGAGTTTGAAATTCTGATATGTATGCGAACTTCACGAAATCTTGCTCTTCATTCCGGTAATACAGTAGATGTGAAAAAATACATGTATCGTGATCAACTGCAAACGTTGTGGTGATCAAACATAGCAAGTTGAGGTTTATTTTCCGAGTACTGTGTATATGCTGTACCGTAGAACTCGATTTTATTCGTCATATACGACTTACATATATGAAACACAATGACAAATATTGAGAGAATGAAACCGCAAATTTTGGTTGAATGTATATTCAGTGATGAATAAAATCATGTATGAATGTTGATCATGACTAGCATGGAGTACTAGGATAATTTTAGTCGCGTGCCTACTCTTTCGAATGATCGAAAAGCCAGAATCAGTCGATGTTATCGTGAGGATAGTGCAGTGCCCTTGATGCGTGAGGCGCAATTCAGTCAACAATTCCTACGAATGATCTTATAGGGTGGACTAACTTTAGAACGAAATCCAAAGGACGAGAAGAAAATCGCCTTGAAGACAATGTTGTAGAAAACCCTTGCAGTGCAGATAGTGAACGTGGAAGCGAAAAATTCGGTATGCGGAGAAAATCGTTGTTCATATAGGGATTCTAATTATGTAATCACCAATTACCGTAATCCACAAGGAACCGTAATCCATCCGATGATCTGTCCATTAATTCGAGGTACCGTACATGATGATAACCGTGTTCCCCCAAGTACTATACTGCAATGTAATGTACACACGCGCAACTTTTTCGAAGGAAAATTTAAAGCAAGCAATGAGTAAGGGGGGTACGATGCGTCATATGCAGTAGGAATTGAATGCATGTTCACTGCGTAGTTTTTCGACCTATCATGCAACGTCATGGATCTGTCACACTTGAGTCTTCTGATACATTGTTGGACCCATTAGGAAAATGTAATGGATATAAATCCAAGTTCAGAAGCTACATGAATGGCATCGCTTTCTCCTCACATCTCCAACTTTTTACCTTGAAAACTGTGGTAAGTAATTTAATTAAACTTGACTCCGGAAAGAATTCGGAAGGAGGAACAAGAATTTCTCGAACTGAAGATGTTCTATCTACGTATACATATGCTGCTGAGCTTAAGAAATTTGAATGGTTGATGATTATTGCTCCTCTGTGTTGCATCGTTTTTGCCCATTACAGTCAGAAAAACTGGACTTCTTGGGAGTTGATTTTGTGTAAACATGGATCAATATCAACCAATTCGTCATGCAATTTTTAAATTGTACCAATAATATATTAATGAGAGTAATCACTGATGATCAGTTGATCAAGGATATAAATAGGTGTAAAATTAGGGAAAGCCCAGTACATTCTGTTCTTCCTTCATCTTATATTGTGTACGGTGTACAGTACGTGCATGCCACATTGTTTTTTCGATCGTGGTTCTGCGGGATGTACGCAGCCTGTTAATGAGTGGGGATGAGGTTTACCAAAATTTTGAGCAGAACGGCAGTGATCGCGTCACAATCAAGTTCTGCACTTATCGGTAGTAGAAAAGAAACAGGAATAAGGATGCCATCGTGGGTTGGGATTCAGTGAACATATGTCATGGCTGAATTTATTCAACTCTTAACAAGATCTGTTGATATTGCCATGATTTTTGCCAACACAGGAAATTCAATCAGCAACTAATCGAGCTAAGAAAACAAGCGGAAAAAATTAAAAACGAGGACGATCAGCAAGTGCCAAATTTGGCTCGAAAAATCGACGACGAAATTAAAGCTTTGACAGAAACCCTTGAAAAGGTGAACTTTTTATTCTCAGCTCTCCCTGCTGTTTTGAAAGGACAAGTGACAATTTTTGTCTTCTATATCGAATAGGGTGACCTGCACGTGAACTGGGAGGAGCGTTTCAACGAAGATGCCGAAAAAGGACTGCAAGAAGTCACAATGTATCTAGACGTCTTGGAGATGACGCTCGTGGACCAGATCCCGAAAGCTTTGGTTAGCTTTCTTGTACACAAGGTGTGACAATTTTAATTCGGTTTACAAGAATAAGCTTTTCTCATGAATTGCCCGTGTACTTCCAGACCATCGATTATGCGAAGAATGATCTTCGCCAGGAGGACGATCTCTGTGTCGATCCAGTGAGTTGAATACAGTACATCGATTTCTTGATGCAGTTGACGCTATTGTTGGGAATTCTTCTAGACGAAACTCATGGAAGTTTCCGTTGAGAAGAAACTCGCTAAGGAAACGACAATCGAACAGTTCACGTCGGTTAGGAAGGCGTTAGAAGAGCTGCAGAAGTTCCGCATTTGAATCAGCTGTTGATCATCGCACGCCTTGAATTGATCTGATTTCAGTCCATCTGCAGTTGGTAGATAGTCATCTTTCGATCGGAATGTTCCGTCGTTTTTAATCGTTGGTTTGTGAATAATTTCATTATTCTGGAATGTAAGAACTTACTTCAAGGTGCGAGCGTTTTTCTTTCATCAAGGATGAACCTGACTGATGACATCAGAATTTCAAATTGACTGCCTCAACGAAAGTGAGCGAGATGTTTAGGGAGCGCCACAATCGAATACCTCATTCAAGCCAGTGAAGGATCCTTTGGGAGTTTGGGTCGATTGAGTTTATTATGTAAGACAGGCCTCCTAGAATTTGCGAAACACGCATCAGTAAGTAACTGCTGTAATTCTACAGGTCTCTTTACAAACAACTTGGAACACCCATTTCTTCGGACCTAGAACACTACTGCTGGTACCTTGCGATTTACAATCAAATTTGCTTGTTGACCTGTTCCAGCCTCTTTTCTATTGTTTTCATGCCATTTGCCCTTGATTCCATGGAGTGTCACAAAAGTTGACTAGTTTTGCAATGGATTAAGGTCAAATTGCAAGGTACCAACTGTACTCAGGTATTCCTGCTACAACTCAGAAATGACAATTGAATGTCCAAAGCTAATCTTCACACACCATTATTTGATTGACCCAACATACAGATTTTTACAGCAGTTCATGACGTAATTTATTTAAATTTCAAAGAATGAACAAAATGTAAACCAAAACCCAAACCCGCTCTTTCATTTCTACATCCAAAGAAATGATGGCCTACAATGGTATTGCATATTAGCAAATAATAAAATTCCGACGGTCAAAAGATCACACGAGTCAAATTGCATTGATCGTTCCTGGATAACTGAATGTTTCCCTCCTCCTTGGCTTCTGGGTAACAGAGTAGTGCTATAATATCGACCCGGATACTCCAAGGAAGAAAAAACTAAAATAATACACTCGGGAATAAAAAGGCCATATACAAAAACGACCAGGAAAATCCCAAAATGAACTCTGGACAAAATAAGCTGTTCCAATCCCGATTAAAATCCCAACGGGTTTCGGCTCGCTGGAATTCCTTTGAGTTCACAGACTTCCTGGGAAATCTGGCTCATGATGGAAAAATTTTCTGCGTCCTTTGCAGATTTCAAAACGTTGAGGTTTCGCTGCACTCTTTCCGAAGCCTGAAAAATATCGAATTTTGTTTCCGCACTGACATTAATGTTCTCTCGATCAATCGAAAAAAAAGAGGTACTCACAATGTTACACCACAGTTTCACGATATTCTCCTCCATCACAGCAGAGGACGAATTGGCGTCCAGGCTTCTACTGGCTCGAGCAATCGTCGCCACCATCCCATAAATGTCAATGGCGGCATCAGCGACTCTCCACAACAAGAATTGCTGATCAACAATATTTTTTCCGTGCCTCACCAACATCTCTTCCACGGAATATCCAAACGCTTGAATCGACTGTTGAAATTACGGAATAAAATTTTTTTCAAAAATACGCTGGAACACGTTTTTGATGCATTAGAATTAATTAGACGAAAGAATCATAAACGCACTCGAACAGGTTGAGTTGAAATTGAGAGAGCTTTTAGAAGAAGTACAGCACTACCTTTCGTAATTTTCCAGCGATCACATTTGAAAGAAAACGAAGAATTGAGTATCCAATCCCATTTCGGGTGGTATTTGCCTTTCACAATAAATACCAAAAATCGAAGTTCGTGGTGCAATTTGCTTCCATGGGTTGAGGAGTCATGTACCCGTGAAGTTCGCTCAAGTTACGCGAGCGTCAGCAAAACGTCTACATTCAGAAATAAGTCCAAACTTTTTCCAATTACCAGAGCCTTCTTGAAACCGAATTTGTATTGCGGGTCTTTTGGTCCAACATTTTTTTCATGGCCTCTCACTTGAGTTACTGACGGAGGAGGTCAAAGTTATTTTTCAATTTTCAAGAAATTCAATTGAAAAAAAAAAGAACTCCGCTCAAAACGTCTACCTTAGCGTAGAAACATCAATATTGTTTACACTCGCGTTTCTCCTTCATGCATCTATCAATTTTTGTTAAGTGGCCCCGGGGTTCATGGGAAATATGTGCGGGGCGTCCTGGGCTCCTTAGCGAAACATTCCATGATTTTTTGAACCTCAGAAATTCGTATGTAGTAGAGTATTTAATAAGGAAATCTGCTTTCAAAAATTCATATTTATCAACTAACCATTGACGCCAGCTGAGCAGGCTTCGCCAAATTGGGATGAACGTTGGCCGAAAGAGTTCCGTCGACAGAGGCCAATCCAACGTATTTCCCGGCACGCTTCGCTGTTTCACCCAAGAGTAGACCGAAATTCGATGCTGGGTTTTGTAGGGCCTTTTGCAGCTCCCTAAGATGACCACCCGCGAATTGCATACCTGCACGACATATCCAAAAGCAAAGATTCGGTGTTAAGCTAGAAGAGAAAAGTCAATCTTCGTGATTAAGAAATGAAGGGCATAATTTGACAGAACAACAGTTTCGTTCGCTTTTTTATTTACTGGCCATTCGGACTACCGGGAAAAGGAGATTCCGTCGATATGTGATTCAATCAAACGTCACCAACGAAAAGATCAATCATATTAACGCAAAGTAATTCCGTGTTTCTCCAAAAAGTTAATCAAATCAATAAACTTATTTCACAGACATCGATCCAAATCTAAGAAAAACGCCAAAAATTAGCAGTACTGTAATTAGGTTCATCAACATTCACTAAAAATACAATAAATTTATGACAAAGATTTAAATACGTTTATACTGTACAGTCTTACACAGTACAGTACTGTACATTTCTTTTTAAAATGCGAACAACCCGGACATAACATAGGTACACATTCCGTTACATCAAAAGAATTCATTTCTTATGTAGTAACAGAAGATCATGCATCCCGGATAATGAAAGACGAAGTACAGTATTAATGTTTACGGTTCTACACACTTGTTGCATCAAGATTCCACATTATTTTGTGCAGTACAAATAAAAAACGATGATTGTGTATGTTGCGCTGAGAGTAACAAAGAAAGCATCTAAATTATTGTACACAACTTCTGCTTATTTTTTTCATTTTTAGTTAAACTTTACATCATTATTCTTAAAAATTATATTTCAGTCAACAAAAACTGGGGTGCGCGTCTTACACGGGGATAGGGTTTTGGACATTTTTGCATCAAAAAATGGGGGTGTGGGCCTCACTTGAGGTTGAGTGGTACTCGAGTATATATGGTACTCGAGCATACGGTACTCGAGTATATATATGGTACACAAGTGTGGGTACTCTTACAGGTTGATCTATTTTCTCGGGGAATTCTGTGATGCATACGGTATTCTTGACAGAAAAACGTTTGCGCCGTTGTCAGCACGAATGTTGAAGTCACAGATCTATTTTCCAGGAGATTTGCGCAATTCAAATATAATTGGGATATTCAAATTGAGGGTGTACTATGGAATGTTCAACAAACTTTAGAAACTGCATCGGCGCTCAAATAACGCTTCAAATTTTAGAACAGTTATTGTGATTTCGAAAACCTAAATTCGGCACAAAATCTTTCCGAATTCATTCCATTGAACTACTGTACCAACATACCCCGATTATCAATTCGAGTTGATTCTCCAGAGATAAAACGATTTGAAAAATTTGTCTAGCTTTTGCTGAGACTTGGCAGAAAAATTTTTCAGTTTTTGGGGTAGAAAAACGGTCTGCTTACCAGTCAGAGCCACGAAGAGACGCAAAATGTCGTTGGTGCCCTCAAAAATTCTGAAAATTCGCAAATCCCTCATGACGCGCTCCAATCCGCATTCCTTCATGTACCCCATTCCACCAAGGATTTGAATCGCATCGTCAGTCACGTTCCACGCAGCTTCCGAAGCAAAAATTTTGCTGATGGCGGCTTCGACTTGATAATCCAAGACACCGCGGTCCATGTTCGCAGCAAGCAGGTAACCCATGGTCTCGGTCACATACTGCAACATGCACATCCTCGCCAGCTTTTCTTGAATGGCGCCGTAAGTGTGGATCTTCGAACCAAATTGCGTCCGGTTCGTGGCGTGGTCCACGGCTTTCCCGATGCAATGCTTCATGGTACCAGCGAGTGTGGTGGCCATTCCGAATCGACCATTATTCAAGATGTTCATTGCCACTTTGAAGCCTTGTCCGACTTCGCCCAACACATTTTCATTCGGGATCTTGCAGTCTTCGAAGAATACCTCGGCGGTATTGGAGGCTTTGATCCCCATTTTCTTTTCCGGTGGTCCGTTGCGAACTCCGCCGAAACCGCGTTCCACGACAAATGCAGTGATTTTGTCTTTCGTTTGACCAGTCGCAGGGTCCTTCACCGGGGTTTGCGCGAACACTGTCATGACTTCAGCAATCCCACCATTCGATATCCAGATTTTGGAGCCGTTTAGAACCCAGTGGGTTCCGTCGGCTGCAGGTACAGCTCGGCATCTGATGGAACTCGCGTCACTCCCGCTGCTGGGTTCCGTGAGACAGAACGCCGCGTACTTCCGGCCAGTCGCAACATCCGGGAGATACTTTTCTTTCTGCTCCTTGGTTCCATAGAGAAGTATTCCCTAAAAATAAAATAAATTCCAAAAATACACTAATACAAAGGAAACTCTCCACTGAAATAAAAACGAGGTTAGGTTTAAAGGTGCTGTCGATTTCCCTGGAACGGAGACGTACTCACAATGCATAGTAGAATAATCACTATGAAGATTACCGAATTTAGGCATGGAACCAAATTACAGCAAAGAACTCAATTTCTATCACTGTTTTGTTTTAAGAGAAAATTGGACGAAAAGTTGCATTAAAATCGGTTGCGAAAGAATTGATAGTCAATAAAATGAAGTCAATTTGAGGGATGCTGTTAGCAAACCCCAAAATTGAACATTCTTAGATTTCGAATTGTGACAGAATTAATGAACCGACCCTCTCAAGGAAGAGTTAATTTATTTTCAACCTACACGAACTCAGATTTCTGATACCCCATAATGACATTTATAAGCAGCAATTATGTAACATTCGAGATGCGGCGAAAAGCTAAATTCGAACACCACAAAATAATTAAGAACTTCGTGAAAATTATAGATTTTTCAAATGGCGAATGAATCCAACAAATTGAATGAAAATAAAGTAAAGTCTCTTCTTCCAGGGACCTTGGAGATATGATGAACTTCGTTATGATGAACCTTTAATAACATTGTGACTATACTTCAGGGACCACGGAAATAAATTCGTCCTGAACAATTATTCGTTCAGACGACATTTCCGGTACTTCAAGAGGAATAATTCGTTCAAATTACCTTATAACCGATACTCTGATGAGCGCCAACGAAGATACCAAGTCCTAAATCGTTTTCGCCGATAATCTGCGACATTCTGGCATACCCTAAATTTCCCAATCCAGCTCCCTCGTACTCTTCAGGCACAAGCATTCCAAACGCGCCAAGATTCTTCAAATGCTCAATCGATTCCGGAGACACGGCTTCATTGGCATCGTTCGCCATTGCGTCATTGATTTCCTGGAAGCCGAAGAAATAATTAAATAATCGACATTCAAGCGAAGACAGGAATTCTACAACGTCTGACAACAACAAACTCCTCAACGGTATCACGAAACATACTGTACCGAAAAAAACTTTTCCGCCGGTTGAACGATCATTTGCACATGTTCCTGCATCTCTCCTTCCAGCTTCACCGGATACGGAAGCACTTGACTCAGGGCGACTTTTCCTCGGAAAAGATTGAACGCGAAGGAATCACTTTCCGCCGGCTTCTTGTCCACCGATTTCTTCTTGGGTGTGGTGGCCGGTGCTGCTGCAGCGTAACTAAAAAAAAAAAAAACACTTTGCAAATAAATCAAGCATGAAAATAACAACTGCTGTCGTTTACCTGCGACATAGCAAAGGGGCTAGATGCTGAGAGCCGAATATGTACGAGCGAGCAGACCGGCTCAAACTGTAAATTTGACGCGTCGATTTCATGGCACTGACGGTCCGAGAACAATTTTAGACACCTGATGTGAGTGCATATAATGTTTTAAGCGGGTTAATTAAAAAAAAACTAACGCTTAACTACTAGCGCGTAAAAAAAAAAACAGTGGATTATCCGCACACACGAGCAGTTACCACATCTGATTCAAACATGGCTCCTGGTTGTATTTAATGCAATGCGCAGAATCTGGATCAAAACTGGTCGCGCCAGGGAAGAAAAACAAAACTAGCCATGAAAAAATGATTAATTTTAAATTACTTGGGCTGAAACCGTTGCGAACAAGACAAAATCTCAAAGGAAGTGGAAATGAGAAAATTTTATAATTCTTGAAGTAGTCACTTGAGCGGAGAGCAAGAGAAACTCGCCATGATAACATATCTAACACGAAAGCAGAGGCCCGCTTGAGCTGAAGATATTCCTTATCGATATTCCTCACTTTTACCTTGAGTCCAAAGGTCTTTCCGGTGAAGTCATTTCGAAATAACGATAAAGCGAATCAAGAATACGGAGAACAGAATCAAATTTGATCTATAAATTACTTTCAAATTTAGAAAAAATTTAATAGAAATCACAGGTAAACGGTATTCCAAGCTAATGAAAAAAAAGTTCATATTCATCAGCAGTAGCAGCCAAAACTGAGTTCCGATGAGTGCGTCAAGATTTCGTCGCACGTCAAGATGAAACCACTTTGATTTGGCCATGATTTTACACGCAGTGCCAAACATTTATTATGGGTAAACAAAGAAGAGGAAGTAATCGAGTTTCATGATATTAATATACCAGGACGCACTGTAAACTTTCGGCTATACTTCGGGAAACATGCGAACAATTTTCCTTTTCAGCCACGCGAGGGAAACAATTTCATTGACACTTTCTCATAGAAACCCACAGTGAATGCAGAAGCCGTAGAATAGAAAAAAGAAAACTTCGGACTCGTGAAGTTTTCCGAGAAACCACCATCCCTCGCATTGTGGAACATGTTCTCTTCATCAGTCAGGAACCAACAAAGCATACAGGGCTTCAAAAAAAAGCGGCGATATTCGAAGGCTTCCTCGAATGCGCAGACAAGTTCAACGCGCGAATTCAGCCGCACAGCAACGCTGATATCAACGAAAAATACTCACCAACGGCATTTTTTCTCAATCAGTATTCCATTCAATAAAATCGAATAGTGGAGAAACGGGAAAAGCGAAAAAAAAATTGCCATCAGGGAGAATTATTCGACGCATTACTTTCATCACTTTTGGGGTGCCTGCTGATGCTGGGCTATAGCTTGGGATAAAGCGGCTTTCAGTTTCTTTATCTCCTTCGTTGTCCATGCCGTCATCTGTCGGGTCCGAGTTGTTTTTGATTTCTTCCCACGAGCGAGTAAATCTTGCACAGCCTCGAATTTGTCTAAAATCGGTAGCTCGATCCCAAACGCTACCGTTAAATCACTGCAAGTTAAAACGAAAAATTACATATAAATCGTCGGCGACCTCATTGACAATCTAACGGGAATTTCTTCTATTAACGCCATTCATCAAATACATCATATTTTCCGAAAAAATGAATTTAACATAAGTAGAAAACAGAATTGCTACTCGAAGAAATTACGAAACGGCCTTCTGTCGTGATTCAACACCGAACTCGTTTTTTCAAACACATGTTCCAGAGGTCCAAAAAGCAAATACGGTAATTTCAGAACGACGGCAACAGGGTTGGAAGTTGAAACCCAGAGTGATCAGCAGCAACTCACCCTAGTAGTCCTACGGCAGCATGAATGCATCCATCCGAAGCTTCGTCGTCAGCACCGACGAGGAAAATGAAGTCTATTATATGTTGCAGATGTGGTTTCAATCGAGCAAGAGGATTTTCGCCAGGGGTTCGATTTCCATTCGATTCGTTCCCCTTGTAACCTTGCACAATGCCCGCATATGCTTCGCAACATGCCTGCCTCAGTTCGTTCTCGTAATCAGTCACATCAAAATCACTCTGCGTGAAAATAATGATAAATTTGACTATGAATCATGAGGAAAATCTTACGAGACAGTTCCAATTAACTTCCCGGTCTTGAAAAAAAATCTCTATCGTTGAGACTGTGTGAACGGCTTTCCCGGATTCTCTGAGCCGCAATCATGGTCATACAATTACAGACTAAATTCATAAAAAGCTTGAGATTACTGTTCACGAGACACTGTACAGCTATTGTTTAATAGGAACAATGCTGTAAAATGTACAGTACTTCTTCGGACAAGAAAAACACTCACTCCTTCGAATTTCATGACGGAAGCTTGATGAGTAGCTGAAATCACAAGGTCCAGATATTTATCAAAATCCGTTCCCATCGCAAGCGCAACGTCGCCGAAAACGCTGAAAATCGGCGGCTTCAAATCTCGATTTGCATTTGGATCCTGCAATTGTCAAAATTTGAAGTTGAAATACTGAAATAAAATAAAACAAAATTCCCAACACTCACCCCCAGTATTCTCAGTAGAGCTTGCATTAAATCATCCGCATACGGAGAGGCCTTATTGCTCAGGTACCTGAAAATGTCCCCCACTGCTCCGAGGCCTGAACTCACCACGCTCACTTCGGCTACGTTTGTTAATGCTACCATCAAGAACGGCTTGAATAAATCCATATACTTCAAGAAATCTTCGCCTAACCCTTCGACGATCACGGAAACAGCCAATAACGCATCTTCCTACAATTCAGCAGAATTAATATACAATTCGTCGGTTTTTCAAAATCACAAAAAATTATTACCCGTATCGATCCGCTAACTTTGGGATCTTCTGTGTTGAACGGCAAATTCACGGTGGAAGAAAACATTTGTAGTAGCGCCGCCATCGTGGCATCTGCTATTTGTCGCAAGTCATCCTTCTTCAGTTTCCGAAGAATTATCTGGAGTGAGGCACAAAGCAAAGCCTGGATATTCAGGATTTCCTGGCGGTCACCCAGTGTAGATGAACCCGATTCAATTCCAATGGAAGCCTGAAGCCTATTCAATATGACGATCGTCGTTTGTTGCACAGTCGGGTAACAATCATCCGCTGAGTTTCTCACAAGCTCCATGATTGCCTCGTACGCAGCTCCTCTTAACCCATGCTAAGATTCAACAAAAAACACGCTAAATTCTCAAGCATATTTTTTTTTTGATCACTCATGAACGCATTCCGAACTACCGCATGATAAGATAAAAAAAAAGTTAGGCTAGTCACATCAAGTTCAGGCACAACATATTTAGGTAAATGTAAGACGGCAGAAAATGTCTCACCTCACCCCCATCCACACGATCAGTAACTTCGATTAGTTTATGCAAGATACCTTCATAATATCTACTGAGTGCGTACGTTTCCGGAACGTCCTTGCTTTCACAGTCGTCGTAAGCGGCTTCATTCAAGCTGGATAACGCCTGCAACGGTCAAATAACACATTCAATTATGTTCGTCACGCAAGATACACGAATCATCTCCGATACATTGGAGTACAGTACCACAACTACTCGAACGAAGGCCACATTTTGGCCGATGAAGTTTTGCTCGAAAACGCTGGTACAGCATGTACAAAAGATATTCGTGAATTTGAAAAAATGTCTCCGAACCTTGGGTTTAAAATGTGAAAAAATTCATTTTGATTTTGAATGAAAATACAGTAACAAAATTAAGCATGGTTCACTCCGCAACCAGCTGAATTATTTAAGGCGGGAATCCATTGCTTAAGAAGTTCACAGATCAAACTCAATTCATTTTTATGATCATGTATCGACCAAAAATCGGGGTAATGCCTCTAACAGAGTAACCATAATTTGGAACCTTTGCGGATCTTATTACTCACCCAACAAATATTGCTGGCCACTCGCGGTTCGGCGAACAAATTTGCGATCATAACTTCCAGTAAAACCTGAAGATGATTCGTGGCTAGTGCTACACTCGGTAAAAGTTCACATATTCTTCCTATTGCCCAAGCAGTGGTATCCTTGACAACAACGTTCGAGTCTGAAAGCAACTGAAGTAGGACCGGCATCGCATTTTCAACCAATGGTCGAAGCTTGTCGGTATCAGGGCCATCAATGATTGATCCGAACGCCATAACAGCTGCGTCTCGGAATCGCCAATCTGGACTACGAATATTTTCCGTTATGAACGGCAATACGGCGTCCACAATGTCGTCTTCGCAACAATGCGCGAAGAGTGATAAGCACACTCCAGTGGCTTTACAGGGATTCCAATCATCGTCACCATCGCCTTCTTCCTGTCTCAAGAAACAAAAATCCACGGATCAAGTTTACCGAAGTCAGGGCCGATCACTAAATCAGGCATAAGAACTTAATACTGTAACGTAATTTACTTCGTTACGACCAACACTCAAAGTTTCTGACTTCCAAGAGCATCGGGCATCGCCAAGGTTTTGTTCAATTGTTTTTTCTTCTTTTTTTTTTTTTACCGTGTTTGATATTCTACAATGCCACGATCTGGTGCGAAGATAATGTACAGGGTCATCAACTACAGACAACGTCAAAACACGTGACTTACCTGACGAGTAAGAATAGGCAACAGAACAGGCAACACGTGGTTCAGTGCACCTTTTGCATAAAACCTAGACGTGTTCAAAGGAGGTCTGCCTGTTCCGTCGAACTCATTTGCTTCAATTGCCAAATCTACTTCTTCATCACAAACGTTGGACCAAAATTCAATGCCTTGCAAGACGACTTCGTCAATATCACTCTTCAACGCATTCAGTGTAATCTGGCGAATGAAACGAAAACGTGAAACGATTGACGAGAAGAGTTTCGGTGAATACATACCGGGAACAAAGCAGGACCCATATATTCCTCCATGTACTGATAATAAAGCGACATGATTTTCACCAAGCACTGCAAACCAATCACTTGAATTTTCGTGCTTTTGCTTTGCGTTGCCTCGCACACAACTTTCATGATTTCATTCCGTTCATTCTAGAGTGAAAAAGAAAGAAATAAGTTGAATATTACAAATGATGACTGCCTATATGATTATAATACTCACCATACATTCAAAATTCTTTCGAGTGAATTCCAGAGAATTCAACATGGCATTACACGCAGCCTGCCTGACGTGATCATTTTGGTTCATACGCATGCCGTGCACGATCATGCTCAAAATCTGATCTGGGTAGTCGACTTTCTGACGTAAAACATGGCCCTCCTGAAGAAAAAAGTTGAACATGAGATGCACTTCGGAAAACACGAGGTAACTTACCATTTCTTGGCAAATATACCCTATGGCTTCTAAGGTAGCTTCTTTGACCAGATCGGTGCTAGAATTTGCGTTGAAATTGTGAGCAAGCGTCGAAATAAGATCCGGCCATAGTCCATGGGGAATTTCAGCCACAGCAATATAGGCTAGACATTGAGCTGCTGTGGAAGGTCGCATAAGTTCCGTTCCGAGAGATGATAGTATCTGATTGAGTCAAATACAAATGTGGAAATAATTTGGTAGAGAGGCATGATGCAGTCGAAAATCGTACATTTGAACGGATGTATTGACGATCCGCAGGAGGGAAGCAAAGCCAGCGTTGCCTGTATGACTCCTTCAAACAGTCGCTTTTTGCAGTAAGTTGATTCTTTAAGAATAATCCGGCAGCCATGCGGGCGACAGCAGTATTCCCGGGACTCATCAGAACTTCGGCAAGAAGCCGCATGAACTTGAGGATATTCGATTTTGCGGCTTCCTCGAGGTACATGGTCGCTTTACAAACTTCACTTTGATCTAGCGAAAAAATGGCTTTCACGGTCAGTAAAGTGAACGACAGTTGGCTATTAAACACCAGAAGACGTACCTGAAGAAATCGTCGCACTTAAAATTGGTATAAGCTCATCAGAGCAACGAATGTCCGCGATATTCATTTCCATCTTCGAATATTGTGAAAGCGCTCTTCAGGTGACGTCGACGCTCGGGTAGGAGCAAATGATGCTGATAAATAAGAGTAATTCTTCACGAAACAATTTTCATGCTCATGTTTTCCATCAAAAACATGATGTCTGCAACGAAAGTAAACTTCATCTTCAAGAAACGCAACACAGAAAAACAACCCTTAAGAACACAAATAATCCCCAACTTGACGAATTCACTTTCCCCAACACCATCCATCCGGCTTTTCCCAGTGTCACAATTCTCAACGACGAGGGGTACAAGGACGCGGATTCTTGACAGACACTGACGAGGAAGTACTTCACTGACTACCGCCGACCGCCGAAGACACAGAGAACCCAAGCCTCATATAGCACAGAGACCATAGCAATCAAGAATGTGGGAACTGAAAAACTGCCTTGCTATAAAAGTTTGCTTCAGTTTCAAAAATAATTAACCTCAGAAGTGAATGAAACATTCTCTTGGTATTTAAATGAATACATAAATTGACCCTTTCTTAGCACAAAGGACTCTTACATATGCACCACACCTTATCTGATATATGATCACTGTTTTGGTATCATAATTCCCCACACTGAACTGATAATAATACAGTACTTACGAAGTTGTCCATTTAATCCATCGATTCAGATGAAATACTTTGTACATGTGGGATACTGTACACTTGTACAGTTTATTGCCATTTGTGCGGAATGCAGAATTGCGTAAGTTTGGCCTTGAGACGCCCATGATGTATACTGTATAATATTGCTGCAAGTGTATTAGCAAAACTGAAAAGAAATCGGGAATGGTATGTGCAGTTTTGTAGTACGGTACTGTAATTCCTCTTTAAGATGCATGGACAGACAGAGCAATCAAGAAGTCCTTCATTCATTTCACAAAATACGGTACTCTTGCAGATGAATAATTGAACGGAGTATTTTTGTTCTTCAATAATTTTGATTTTAATGAATACTGTAATATGAAGTAATATATTATGCATTAGTGGAATCTGTGTATGTATATATCCTACGGATAATCGACGCCGCGTAATATACTGAACATAAGTACTGTACTGTATTTATAATTAACTGCTGGACTTGACTTTTACATAATATAATACTGTACTGTATTACTTATACGGTGCTATTATGTACACAATACTATGTATGTCATATGTTACAGTATGTCAAGGACTTTTGTATCAATGCGTTGAGAAGAATGAGGTACCATGTAACGGCGAGGTGCAGGATCATGCTACGGCATGTACTGATTACAGTACGTAATTAACGTCCCTTCGGCTTTAAAATCTGACCGAATTTTCGCAACAGTATATACAGCATAGGCAAAAAGATGCCTCCTGTGAGGATTGAACTCACGACCCCTGGTTTACAAGACCAGTGCTCTGCCACTGAGCTAAAGAGGCCGATGAAGTCAGAGAGATTCAAAATATTGTTGTTCATGTTCACATTGAAGACCAAAGAATTTCATGAAATGAGTTGCACATTCAGAAAAGATACACTTACGAATTATCCGAATAAAGGAAGTCATCTTTTTCACAGAACCATTATTTTTGCTCATGCATACAGAACACCAATATGTGTCTTACTCCATATAGTATTTATAGACTAAGGGGTTCAACATATATGCTGCTGGCTATGAATCTGAAATAATTCTGACGGTTAAGAAGTCATATATACTACGCCTCTAACACAAGGTGTAGGCTTCGATGCTGCTTGTTATTGTACCCGAATCATTTCATCTTATGACTAGAGAGAAAAATCATTGTCTGAACTACGAAACTACCACGATTTGAACTGGCCCAGGACGCTGGGATGGCGGTAGTGATCACGGTATAGAAGCGTCTTATGTTTATTACCGCAGTTTCTTTTCAGCGAGTGGGATGGGTTGTGTGGCTTGGTTGTGCTGTGCTTCATCTTTTGTTGGGAGGCGTGTGCAGACTGTTCTACGAGTATTCATAACGCTTAAAATATTTCTTTTAGTCTTTAAGTCGAACTCTTCGTAGCATCATTTTCAATGCTCCGGAGTGTTCAAAAATTCAACGAGTGAAGCATGAATTTTGAACTACGTTGCCTATGGGGATTTCCGCGATAAACTATTGTGTATAGGATGCGTGTGACTGCATGTCATGAAATCTTTGCCTTTTCAATTTTAATAGTCTTGTAGTGCGTTTGCGTAGGTGACTGAAATTACGACGATGGGAGGACGATCACCATCTCAACCGGGGGTACATAAAGTGATAATGGTCGGGGCTGGTGGTGTCGGTAAATCAGCGTTGACATTGCAGTACATGTACGAAGAGGTCAGTGGCAGAATTACGTTTTTCTTGGAGGCATTTTTATATTTTTGTGTCTATTTTTAAAGTTTGTGGAAGATTACGAACCGACAAAGGCTGATTCTTATCGCAAGAAGGTGGTCTTGGATGGCGAAGAAGTTCAAATTGATATTTTGGACACAGCTGGCCAGGAAGATTATGCTGCTATAAGGGATAACTACTTTCGAAGTGGCGAAGGGTTTCTTTGTGTTTTCTCGATTACAGATGATGACAGTTTTGCGGCTACGCAGGAGTTTCGGTAAGATCTGCCCTGTCATTCACCATTGTATAATTTTCATGAAGAAATGTCTTCATAGGGACCAAATTTTGCGGGTTAAGAATGAGGAAAATATACCCTTTTTGCTCGTCGGGAATAAATGTGACTTGGATGATCGTCGCCGAGTTCCTTTCAAGGTTGCAGAAGAGAGAGCAGCTGAGTGGAAAGTGCCATACGTGGAAACTTCAGCGAAAACGAGAGCAAATGTTGATAAGGTACTAAGTAGTGATTGTCGATTAAATCAGTGCTTCCTATTCCGCGCCTGTGTTTTATTCGCAGGTATTTTTTGACCTGATGCGGGAAATACGTTCGAGAAAGTTGGATGAGCAAAGGCCCGCAGGTGGAACAAAGGATAAAAGAAAGAGGAAAAAGCTCAAGTGTACTATTTTATAGGTCCGAATATCAGTAGACTATTCTTCAAATCTGTTCATTTTCGCGTCAGCTCTTGATTCTATCTGTTGGCGTTTACGTTACGATACTCATTTCAATTGTTATAATTGGCTGACCGTGAGTCAAATTACACATTTCAACGCCGCCCCCGATAGTGTCAGGCTTTGTGTATGTCTGCATACGTCCCTCTGAAATGGTGCTCATGCAAGCTAGACACTTTTTAATATCTTGGAAGGTTTTGAGATGAATCTTTCTCCATTTATGATCCCTGATTACCTGAGTCCGTTCGCAGATGTGCACCATCGTGAAGTCATAGCTTGTTCCGCAGCTGTGAAGCTTTGAACGGCCTAGACGGATTATTTTTTTACGTGGTCATCGAAGCTCGCTTTAATTATTTCATAACTGAATGAAGAGTGTCTTGTTTTGGGGAATTGTCAAACAAACAGGCTTTGGTTCGGCTACTGGGATGAACAATTTCGTGTGAATGATGCTTCTTAGCAGCTTCTGGAAATCCCATATTGCGATGTGTGTCAGTGAAAGAGATGAAGTTGAACGTTCGATTTCCTCGAAAAAAAAAATTGTTAATGGGTTCTCGCTCGTCAGCTGAGAGTTAATTTGGCCAGCATATAGATTGAGTAATATGTGCAACTTGTATTTATGTATTCGTCAAAAAGGAAAACAGCTTGCGTTGAGCTTCGTGAGACAGTTTCAGATTTATTCACTCATTTGCTACATTTTTTTTTTTTAAATAATCTAAGCTTTTTTTTCAAGCAGCGCCGCGGGAACCATCGTCAGTCAAAGAATCGCTCGCGGGATTTTGTTTCTTATCAGAATGTCTGTTTGTGCCTGATGAAGTAAGAAAACTCTGCTCAAGTATTGTTCCCTTCGCTGTGAGGCTAAAAACGGTCTGCAGAGTTTGTACCGCTTGGTAAGCTCCTGTCTATAAAATCATGTGTATCTTTTGTTTTCTTTCAGCGTAAGCTGTTCGAGTGCTTCAATATTGTAATTTTTCGAAAATTTTCTCACGCTGCTGAGTGTGATGTTTTAAAGATGCGTTCGAGATTCAGTATGGTGTGTCATTAAATTTTGGGATGAACAACGTTTGAAGCTACCATGTTATCTCAAACGCAACTCTTATATCTTGCCGGGTGCGGAGTTTGTAGTGGTAAATACGAGACTAAGAAAGATCCATTATTCATTTGCGGTCCCGGAAGGTCAACTCTTCTGTCCTTATTCTATTATCTTGTTGTGTTGTGTCCTATTCTGTAAGGTGTTCGCATTGTATTGAAATGCCTTCATCTCTGAATTTATCCATCACTTGGTGAGTATTTGCCGGAGTAAAGGGTATGAAGTCGAAATGTTACGGTGCAATCCAATGTTATCCCAGCTATCGTACTGTTCCTGTTCGACAGGATCGCACGTTATGGGTGATTAAGAAACCTGTTGAACGTGCAGTTTCTTGAATACTTCGTTTATAAGGTATCATTCTTGATTTTAAAGAATTTGTTGTGAAACAGCTTTGATTGAAGCTCCGCGTAAAAATTATTTCTGGAAATATTCGAGAATGGTCAATAGATTTAGTTGATGACTGGAAAATTTCCTCGCGTACGAGTGCGCTTGACGTACTTGTGATTTGCAATCCTGCCTCCACCAGAAGAATGAGTCATTATATCAATGTTTATGCTTATCATGGTGGTGATTCTGGTGAATCAGATATCCGTCGAGTGACTAAGAGTTACTAAGATGTTATGAATTCATATTTCAGAATTACAGTATACATATTGGATATGTTGTGCTTCTCCCTGGAATATTTTGCTGACTGTATTGAGTTCTTGCATTGTTGTTCTGGACTGTTTTTGATTTTAAAATGATAAGATTAGTCTGGATGTTTTCCCTCACGGTTCGATCTGCGACGTTAGCTCACATGTCCATGGGAAAAATCCGTGTTTTCTCGTGTAGATCGAGGTTATCTTTTTGTTCAGATGAAATTCGTCCAATTGTCGCGTTCCCTCAAGGTTCGGTTCTGTCGTGATTTGGCCTTAAAATCTGAATTCTTCTCATGTTGAGGTAGTTGCTGATTTACGTCCATTCAAAGATGCAGGATCGCATGGGTTGTGATCAATTTGTTTATTTTTCTGCGGAGAGCTAAACTATTGGAACAAAAACAGCGAAATCCCCGAATGTCATCTCCAGTTCAGTACATATACTTCATATTTGTAAGGCTTCAGTATTGCTCATAATATGAGGAAGTGTTGCTTCACGGGTAAGCGTTTATTTTCCACATCACCGAGAAGCATTTCAAAGTTCTAGCTTGTCATAACCAAATTTATTGCTGTAATTTAATCAACATTCTGAATGCGTTATTCAGTTTCAGTATATTCACATGACTTCGGATTATAGTTTATGCCGAAGGAAATAAGACTTCAGGAGTACTGTGCAGTACCGTATTGTAAAATATTGTGTAAGAGCGACATCTACATTATTGATAGCCTTATGATTTTTCTGTTTATCCGCTCTCGCTTGTTGCGCCATGCATCTGTCATGGAAGAATGCCTTGGAAACCCCGTGGTTAATTCGACAGGTGCCTGTTGCAAAAGCTAAATTTTTTTCTGGGTGAATTAAGTTCATGGTCTCTTCGATAAATAGTGTTGAATTCGATGGATTCTAGTAGAGGCACGTCGTTTAACATGCCGAGCATCCCGATGCCAGACATCCCGAACGGACTCCTGAAGGTGAGATTTAAAATTCTGTACTGTATTTGTTTTGCTCTCAGTTCCTCGCACGTGCTTCGTTGCTTCCTTCCAGGGATTGCTTGTTGTGCACTTCGTCCTGTCAACATGGTGAGGATACTTGCTTAATTATCACCTGGATGGAATGTAACGTATTATTCGTCTTTTAGGGCCGGACAAGACCATTGGATGCCGCCGGCGTACTTGTTCTACAATTTCATCTATGTACTATTATTGATGTGGAGCATCAACAAAAAGGATTCTGAGGAACCCGTTATGATGGCGATGATTATCAGTTTGATCTCAATTCTTCTAGACATCATTATCATTCCCACTTACTACAGCATTTGTAAGTAGATGATTTTCGCACTGGAAGCGTGTATGGTCCCATGTGTGGTTTTTCTTTGTTTTTCTAGATCCCACCGGATCATCTCACGCAAGATTCTCCTTGGCGATGGCCATCTTGGTCTTGCTCTCTAGGCCTGTCGCGAGCTTCCTTTTATTCAATTTGATGAATGAACGCATGAATCAATTCGGCACTTACGGATCTGCAGGACCCGGAATTTTTGGTGAGCTAACCACACGTTTTCCAAAGTTTCTGGGTGCGTTGCGTTCAGTAAATCGTCACATAAATCTCAGAAATTCTTGCTTCACGTCCAAATGCCTTTGCATTAGAATATTTATAAATCTCGGCCCACTACTTTCCGTCTAATTTCGTTTTCCGAAAATAAATTTAATACGATTCATGAAATTCATGTATGTAAATAAACATGTATTTATGATTGGAATTCAGTGTCCTTTTGAATCGCGGATCGTGATCAAGCGTATGCTTAGGAGCTTTCCCAGTTGAGGGGAGCCAGACTACTTAAATTACGGTGTATGGAGTTCCGGTATTCGTGTGCCTATGTGAAGTTCACTTGAGAATTCCGGTGTGATTGCGTATGTTTTAAATAAATGGTGACATGAAGAGGTGAGTTGGAAATGTAAACATAATTTCTCTGTAATTCTGAGAATGGACCAGACAAAAGAACCCGATTCAAGTGCTTATGAACGAATTTGTCGTTCCAAATTCGTGTTTCCTTGTAGTCCTATCACTTTCCCTATTTCGTACGATGACGTCTTTTGTTCGGCGATTGTCTCTTCAAGTTAACGACGACGTGGCTTCAACGATCCTTGTTCATACTCGTCGTGTCATCTGTATCTTTGTCCGTAGAACGTCATGTGGTATCATGACCAAATTTGAAATCATGCAATTTGCTGCAGCGTACCGATTCGCTAAACTAGGACGTCCGATTTTCAAAATCGAATTCACGATAAATGTGGGACGAAATTCTGTGCATGTAATGTACAGTATATGACGATTTCCTGAGCGGAATGTCTTTCGACCGATGTTACGTTGTGACTCGGTTTTCATCGGAATACAATGAAGGGATCGCTTCTTCTAACCTCAGCATGAAAATTAAAGGGAAATATGTACAATTTTGATGATTCAGTATACTTAGTCTACTTGCGGTAATTTCAGATTAAGCTGCAAGTTTATCATACCACAGTAGATTTAAAGGCTGTATGTCCTCAAACTTGCGGGGTAAACTTCGGTGACTCACTTGAAAGCTGACAAATGTCTTTTAGAGAATTGATGCGTCTAAAAACTTTTCGACAGGACGATACGTTTGACTGTGTCTTATCGATATGTGTGTGTAACGAGCGCTTATCCAATTTTGGACGAAGGTCAATATTTTTGTGCAAATTTTGTACGTGGAATAACTTCTATAAAATTCTTTTTTTCAGGTTCTACACAGAAAGTTCGAACAAATTATGAAGATATTGACGGCAGGCAGCAGGTTCCTGGAATGAGTGGTGATTTAACCGGTTCGCCCGGACGTTCAGCGTACAGCCCAGATAGTCCCTATAATGCGCCGCCGTAGGGAAACCAGAGCAAATATCGGAAGCTTGATCTTCTCTGTTGAGAAATCTAGTAAAAATTGAAGTATCCAGTTAATCCCGTGCTCCGCTTTTGTGTGTTGACTCGTCGTGTTCGGTTGTGTCGCGTGAAATCAATTCCATCCCGCCTTACATTTTGTTCTGTTGTTAACCTCAGAGGCGCTTGTCCCCAGCAAGCACAAACCTTTTATTGTGATCATGGAAACAATTTGCTCGTTATCTGTTGATTTATTTTAAAGTTGTTCATTATCGGCATCCAGACATAGCTGTGCGAAAATGGGATTCTCGCGTCTCTGCCCCCTGCCGTTGCCATGACTACCTAGTCGACGCGTAATTCGTGCAAGTTAAGTCCGAGTTAAGCTAAGATGCTTTTCGAGTTTTGGGCTTGCGATTTTTGGTTCGGGAATTTTTACCGCCATATTTTGCCTATTGGTATTTTTAGGTGTCTTTCGAAGTATCTACTAAATGTTTGTCAGGGTTTGGTTGCTTAAACAAGCCATATGTTGCTTACTTTGAATACAATGTGTTTTATTCCGCGGAATCCGTTGCTATGGTTTCCTTTCATTGATCCGTGAGGTTTCCAGGGTCAGGTTCAAAGTCACCTGACACTCGGATTTTTTCGCACGGATTCTTCACCTGGGTTTTGCTGCCCCGAAACATCGGCCGACAGGTCATATAGTTCTTTTCATTTTGAAGCCGTCGTTCGTCTTGCTTAAAATGCTGTTCAGAAAGGAAAAAGTTGATGATAAAGCGCTGCCCCTGGAGAAAAATTCGGATCACGATAAATCCATCACGTGCATGGCGTTGTCTGATGACCAGTCTCTACTGGTTTCCGGAAGCGATGATGGAACTGCGAGAATGTATAGCGCAAAAACGACTTCAATGGAATGTCTTGGAGTTTTCCGGTGAGATATTCAGCTTTTATCCAAAATATGGTTGCAATTTTGAATGTTTGCATAGATCACTGAGCACAGTAACTTCAAACTTCATAAAGGAACCATCGCGCAATCTTCGGGATCCTTTTCTGAAATAAAACTTGGTGAATTGGTATCTGTGAGAATTATTTAAAAAGAATGGCTGTGATTAAAGCGTGCTTTTCGTGTACGAGAGATTTAGGGTTTTGAGTCTGCGATAATTTGAATAGCATATAATTCCGGGTATTAGCCTAAATTCTGCTTCTCCGAATTCGTAAACTGAAATAAGATCTGCTGTGTCTTAAAGAGAAGAGTCAATTATTTTCTTCGAGAACGAGTTAAAGCTCATAATGACGGTCTGACTTTCCTTCAAAACAAAATGATACGCTAATGTCGTGAATTAATTCGTAATTTGTGTTGCATGATTAGAAGTGGGATTCACAATACAATCGAGTATGTTCCTGCAGAATGTGAGACTGAGAAGGAATTCAGCTTCGTGAGAGGATTCGGAAGCGCTCAAAATTTTATAAACAGTACGGTCGGTACTAGTCGTTCAAATTCCCAGACGTAGGAAGTGTGTACTTGTACGTGGAGTGATGTCTGAAACAGTGCCAGGACTTTGATGACTAGGTTTTATTCTTGGATAAACATAAACCGGTGCAATAGATGAGCTCAAAATACAACTTGCCCAGTTTTTCTTTTCAGACTGCCACTCATCGCAGTTATTTAGAGGTTCCGTGTTCCAAAAAGAACGCGTATTAGAGACCACGCATAACGAACGCCTCGCAGAGCGAAAAATTTGCATTGCGAACATTTATGTTCAGGGGAAAATTTTTTGCGTAATGAACGAAATTCGCGTAACGAACCGCACTTGCCTTCGCTTTGAACGTTTACTTCTGAAATTTTTCAGGAGGATTTAAAAGATTAGTGAAGTAGGAGAAACGTAGGTACAGAATTAAAAAAAAGTATGCTGCCAACCCAAATATTTCGACTCTTTCGATAATGAAGGAACCATTTGGGATTTTTCACACCAACCATTAACACTTGGGGAGGAGATGTGCAGCCGTTCTGCAGTAAATTTCTTAGAAATTAATACCTGCTGGATTTTTCACTGTAATCCTTGACGTACAGTAATAGAAGACTTCGATTTCTCTTTCGCCCCGATTCTTCCTTTCTTTTCTGCGCCCAATAATTTGTTTCAGGGGCCACACGGATTACATCACGTGCATCGCCATCTTCGACACCCATGTGATCACGGGAAGCGCGGATTGTAGTGTTAGGAAATGGGATATGGCGAGTTGTGAGTGTTTAGATGTGTACCAGGGCCACGCTAGTCGGATTTTCAGCATTATCTGCTCCGGGAACGTCATTGTTTCCTCGTCTTACGACAAATCTGCCCGAGCCTGGCGATTTGACACGTCCGACTTGGATGATGACGAGGATCCTTGTCTCCGTACTTTTGTGGTATGATGTTTGACTTGATTTTAGATTTTCTTCGTTTAAGCAGCTCAGGGCGTTTCAAAATCGACTGTTGATCCCCGAATACGGAGAAAACTTCAAAAAGCTGAGAAGTAGTAATTATGCCACTTTTTATCTGAACAAACTGGAGGAAATCCTGACTTCGTCCCAGCGACTTGTTCAGAAGAAGAAGAGGGAACATATTTGTAATTCCCAAGACTAATTCCAATGTGATTCGAAATTGTTTATACCCTAGAAACGGCGAATATTTCAGGGGTTTAGAAATGTTGTAATACGGTAAGCCTGCAATGCAAATAATTTATTTTCGAAAAAAGGAAACAAAATCCTGATGTCCCAGAATCTACACAAGTGCTCAGCGTTCGTAAAAGCGAGAGGGAACGTTTTCAGAGTTTTCAGGACAAATCCGAGACTGATTTATTTTCTCCTTAAGCTTCAACAATGCGTTTTAACGATTAGTTTGCTGTACATAGAAAAATCATCGTGTCGAGTGGTTCGCGAGATTTCCCTGGTGTGAGGGACCTTTTCAAAGAGTTATGAATTATGACTTGAGGTGGATGCATGAAAATGCAGACAATGGAAAGTTCAGGAAGAATACGTACAAAAAAATGAGGGAAACTAACCTGGGGAAAGGACTCGGAACTCTGAGAAAGCAGTATTTTGAATGTGAAGCGCGTATGTTTTGTAAAATTTCGAAATGAGTATGCAGTACAAGTACCCGAAAATATGCCATTTATTTGGGTTGAGGGTTGAGCTGATTTACACGAGAAATGGTGCCCGAACAATGAACGCTTTATCTTGAAAAAGGGGAAATCCGGTTGAAGTTTGAACATTTTTAATCCAGAAAACAGTCGAGAGAAACATTGTTTTCCTGCTGAGGATTTCTCGCCTAATGCTTCCTTTCATTTACTCCGTGAACTATTTGTCTTTTGTCACACATTTATCGGCTCTTTCAAGTGCTTGTCCTTGAAAAGACTGAAAATGTTCGTTTGTGTCTCCCAAGTCACAAGCCATCTACTTGACATCAACCAAGGATTTTCTCTCCCTCTCTCACATCAGGACGCGTCCGCATTTGATACGAAGTTCATAATTGTGTTTCGAACTGCCGGAAATACTGTACAATATACGCGTTTTTCGAGAGTTGCCTTCATTCACTATAACTTTTCATCAGGGACACACGAAGGCTGTTCTTTCACTGGCATTCTTTCATGGAGCGAATTCCGGTTATGACAGCGATGAAGATTCCCCGGGGGATTTCTCGGAAAAGCTAATCACGGGTTCAGCAGATGGGACAGCAAAGTCCTGGTTCTTGAAGTCGCCAAATTGTGTCAAGGTCTCTCTCTATAAATTCTTCCTGTCGGATCGAGTGCAGTTTAAAAAAAAAATAAAATGTGGCTTCGTTTTTGATCGCAGACTTTCAAAGGCCACACTGGCCCGATTTCTTCGATAGCCGTTGATGAAGAGGCCGCTATTCTGTTCACGGCAAGCATGGATAAAACCGTGCGAAGTTGGGACGTACATCTTGGCCGCTGTCTTAAGGTGGGATTACAAATGTTGGGTTTTTTTTGTTTCGGATTTTATAAATATAATGCTATGGGTTCATAGAGTTACCCAAATATCAGGCGCACTTTTCTCAAGGGAAACGTTGGCTCGAAAAAAAAATTGGGCGGATGAGGCGGCCCTTCCGTTATAGATTCTTGGGTAAAGTGCAAGATTTTTTCTAATAGAGACGATATCTTTAAGGGAAGGCATTCTAAATTTAAATTATCGTGCCGTCAAGCGACTTCTTTCGAAAAATTTTCAAGTTTACTGGCGCAAGAGATTCCTGATATTTTTGGGGAGGAATTCAAACTGGTAACCGAAGGTTAATTATTATATGATCAGCAAATGTTATGACCTCCTCCGAATCTCAAGAAGAATTTGAACATAGAAAAGTTTTATATAAGCAGGTTAAATTTGTTGAATAGGGGCGTTTTCAAATAAATTTCGTCGCAAGCTTAAAAAAAACGAAAATAACAGTCGAATAGTTTTTTTGAATCCGGTGTAGGACACTGTGAAAAATTGGCAACGTTCGCGTAATTAATTTCTTTTTTCCTGAAAAAGATTTTTGAAGGCCACGAGAACGGAGTGCTGTCCTTGCAAGTTTCGCGTTCAATTTTGTACACTGGTAGTACTGATGGTACAGCCAGGTCGTGGGTCGTAGAATTCGGAGAATGTACGAGGACATTCAAAGGTCATGAACACAGTGTCAATTGCTTGGTTGCAGCTGGTAACATTTGTAAGCATTTTCAAAAATTCAAGATTTCGGATCGAATACCATTTTTTGCATGGCAACTTTCTGTTCAATTTATTTTCAAGTACTGTACAGTATATATGTTTTATTCTTAGGAAGGAAATGGAGGCATATAGACTATTTCTGCAATTATTTTTTCCACAACCATCAACGATTTTTTTGTTGGTCCAATGGGATTCTCCACCTCAATATTCTCTATATGGGCTATACAATGAGGTTGTATCTGGTTTCCTGAATTTTATTGTAGACAGAGTCATTCTGTGATTCTAGCATTTTTGCTATCATTTTTATATCCAGTGAAATATTCACTATATAAAAGCATCAAATGGGTAATTTTTTTCAACACCCTTCTGCTTTGTTGTAATGGAAATTTTCTCTGGAAGAAAGTTCTTTGGCTCTTCAAATTGTTAAGATTATTTGTATCACTTTCATCCCACTTCAGTTCAATCACCTTTTTCCTCAGGGGTCCCTAAGACCTCTTGGACAAGTATTTGGTTTTTACTGAAATAAATGTGGTGGACACAATTGACCATTTGTGGCCTGAGGGTTTGAAACTCCTCAACTTATTTCTATGTTCAGATCAATAAATGTAAGTCAGGAATGTCACACACAGAAGCAGATCTGGTCTCTCTGAAGTTCAGAGCAGGATTGATTCCTTCTTGTGATATTTTTTTCAGGTCCAGGTCCTCCTCAGTGGAAAGTTTGTCCAAGGTTTTCCACTGAGGTGTGACTAAAGTTTGTGCTTATAATTATTGAGAATTCCTTTGATCAAGTGATGATTCACTTGATGGAATTATTCCTGAAGATCAATATCTTCAGGTTTTGATTGTGTTAGGAATTCTTTGGAATGATGTTTTCATTTGTATTGGTAAATTCTTGCTTGGTATTGCATACAATGTGGCATGTCATACACTGTGTTGTATTGTTGTACCTTGCACTGCAGGAAACATCTTAGTTGACCTGTGACATTCCTAACCTTCTTTAAAAAATTTTCAAGTTCCCTTGGTATCCTTGTGGCACCAAAAAGGATTTTGAGATAAATGGATTGTTTTAACTCACATGGTTAGAAGCTTTTTTACCTTTTGATTGCGTCAAAGAAAAAATAGCGAAATACAGTAGAATCTTGTTACAGTATAACGAATCATTGCTCAAAACGGATTTGTTTTTTTCGGTCCTAAAGCCCAAAGCCAGCAGCGCGTTATTCGAGTTTCTGTATGACGAAGCTTTGTTCCTTGCTCTGATGTGGTTTTGTGATATCAAGATTTGACTGTGATTTTAATCATGTTTTTTTTTCAAGCTTTTTTTTTTGTCACCTGCATTTGAAAATAAATTTCTGATCAGCCTCTTTTCCACCTTTTATGCTCTAGTATTTACGGGTTGTGGAGACAAGAGTTTGAGAGCTTTTGATGCCAAATCCGGGGCATTGAGGAGAACTTACAAAGGCCACGAAGCGGGCATAACTGCTATGGCGTATGTGGGCGGTTTCATCATATCTGGCGGCTTCGATGGTACTTTGATCAAGTGGAGCACCGCCGACTTGGTGTAAGGTGATTGACGAGTTGTTAATTCCATTTAAAAAGCTTCTCTTGTACGAAATCTAATGCCACGAATGCGAAAAAATTTTTTTTACGAGCGAGGGTTGTTTCATGAGTCTTTGGACTAATTCAAATAGACCCAACACGGTTTGGTCAATTTTCAATTAAAAAATTTTCTTTTTTACTCACATAACCTCGTCACGTGGCAACACTTCAGTGCTGTTCAACATACTCTCCGCCAATTTCAATGCCATTTTTTTTTCATGCGATGAATCCAACGATGAGAACAATGGCGCCAGGAAAATTTCAGTCTGAACTTGATTTTAGCCACTGTTTTGATCGTTGGATTTACAGCGTGATAAAGTGCATTGAAATTGGCAGAGATTATGTTGAACAGCACAGAAGCGTTGCCGCGTGACGAGGTTATGTGAGTAAAAAAAAATTTGTAATTGACCAAACCGTGTTCGGTCTATTTGAAATAGTCGCATGACTTATGAAAAAACCCTCGGATTTGGTCACGAAAAAGCAGTTGGGCCCCTGACCTGTGAAAGTAATTACTTCTCGAGACTGTGTATGTAAGTCAGAATGTCTGCATATAAAATCAAAGTTTCACATGGACTTTCATGGGAACATATTTAATCAATTTTCGTGCTTCGCAAAATTTGAAAAAATGATCCAAAATGCCATAGAAATGCTGTTCTCAACTTAATTATGAAAGACATAGCAGCACAGAAAAAACATCCTACCTGTTTTTGCATTAAAATGAGTCCAAACGGCAAAATTGAGCAAGCAAATTTCCATAATGTAATGAGTTGACGTAAAAACCCCTCGAACAAGGAGCACAAAATTAGCCGTCCGGAAAATAAATCAAATTAAAATTATAAGGCAATTCATTTTGACTTCATTTCCACGGTAGTGGCTCAATTTTTTCAAGAAATATACACATTTTAAAATAATATTTTTAAATGCTACCGGAGATTTAATCGAAGTGAGATATCTGATGTAAATTGTTCAAATGTTCGTGCAGATGTTTTGAGTGTCCATAAGTCGAAACGGCTTGACGTCGGGGGCCCCATATTATTTTAATGAAATGATATTCAATTGTAGATTCTTTAGTTTGTGTGGCGTCTTTATTTAAAAAAAAAAATTAATTTCATTTTCTCAGGTCTGATGAGACGCTTGTCGAAAATTCTGTGGCGGCAATCAGTCCTCAAGGCTGATTCAATGGTGTGATATAATTTCGGGTCATTTTTGCGTGGTGTGTGTTCATGCACCTTTCGAGATTGAAGTGCCTTTAAAAAAAATTATTTTCCACCTCAAAGTAGAATGCATTCTTCGTCGCCCATTTTGAGTTTAGAAGTCATAAAATATATGGAAGGCCATGATGTAACATGAACTGCTTCTTTCAAAATTTTGAAGAGGATTTTTCAAAAGAAATATAAGATTCAGCTTCTGTTCGAAATTGTCTCTTCAAATAAATGTTTCGCTTGGGCGCAACATTTCGATCAAACTAAAATAATGAACAACGAAGCGAACTGCGAAAATGAGGAAGATACATTTATTGCTTTACAAAATCATGAATCTAATGCACTCAAATTCCCGATTTCCGTGATTTCGATTAAATCTGCTTACGGAAAAATGCGTATGAGTAAAGAACAGAAAAATAAAGGATATGGTTTTCTATAATGATACATAAAACTAGCAGCAAAATATTGCACTGATGTATTTCCGCGCGCAATTTTCTGTACAGTGCTGTATATTGTTCAATCGCACTACAGCATTAAAGGGAGAAATTCATCAATTTTCATGCTTATTCATTATTCTTCAGCCTAAAGAAAAGCTTTAATTTTGTTTTCAGGTCAAGAAGGATCACATGCATGAGCAATTATTGCATGAATGCTCTGGAAAATACGGGGCCACTTTTTTAAGAAATATTTGCTCTGAAAATTATTGCAGTACAATTAAAACTTAAACATCCGGAACACAAAGTTCAAGAAATTCGTTAGATTATTGCTGTATGCATCATTGTTTGAAGTATGTTTGCAAGAAATGCTTACAACAACTGCACAAGTTCAAAGTCGGAACTTTCCCTGACTGCTTCAATATCACCTATTGTAAACGTCCGCGAACACATTATGTATATGTACTCAGCTGTCCACAGAGGACGCTCCTTGTTCCCAATATAAGCATTTTTCATGACAGAAGCAAACATATGTGGACTCTCCCATACAACGATCAATCTTGTCTACAGCAATTTTTCCATAGAATGCATTTTCTTGGTGCTCAAAGGGTTCTTTCACCAGTAATTATAGGGGCTCTTCACAACAAAATTATCCGTACAGTAGTATAACTATTTTTTTTTCTGACCCCTTGACTTTCGTCTGCATAGAGAGAGTCCACTTGTATCACACTTCACGAACTACACAAATGTTGACACAGATCAACAATACACCTGGTAAGCATTGTTCACATTTTGTTTAATAGAAATAAAAGAAGGTAGCTTGTATACAATGTAAACATACACGTAACGTTAAGAAAAATGCTGTTGGCCACTTCATTGTCCTTCGTACTCTTCATAAAATCAGTAATTAGGCCAAGAAAATTCAAGATTTGCAGGAATAATGTCTTAGCTGTCATGTAAAATCGTCATTAGGTAATTTCAAACTGTTGAATATACCTTATAAATTGTACGTACAGTACTGTACAGCAAAAATACTTCTTCATCTATAGCAGCTTATTGACACAAGTGCTGGCGGGTCACTGATCCAGTCATAATTGGAGTTCAACGGATACAACTTCAAATTACTACGTTTATACTTGATAGATTTGTCAGATGATGAACTCCCCCCTGCAATATTTGAATCAAGTCCATAAATGACCCAGGATAGGTGTACCAGCACTGCAGTACCGATGACATGCTGTTCTCGTGTGTCAACGTACAGCATGTGTATAGTTTCACTCCAAGGCGCCCGCGGACCAGTTCCTGGGCATGCTGGTGAACATGGGCGACCGTTTGGGCGTCCCCACGACGACCCTGGGCGACGACGGCGGACTGGACGACGAGCCCGGATTGATGAGCCGGAGCGGCCCAACACTGCGCATCTCCTTGTGCACTATCATGTGTTGCTTGATAGAGCCGTACTGTTCTGCTGACATGGCGGGCTTCCGCTCGCCCATGTGTCGCTCGGCCCACTTGAGCAGCGTGAGGACGGAGTCCGGGCCGGGAAGGCGGTAGTCGGCGGCGGTTTTCACGAGGGACGCCGCGATTCGGTAGGTGACCGCCATGCCCTTGAGGGCCCGCATGGCGTCCTCGTCGATCGTGTCGTCGCCGACGAAGATCACGCTCAGGTCGGAATTCCACTCCATTCCTGCATCATCCGGACGCGACATATACAATAAAGAAACATCGTAACAATAAGTTAGACGTTTTTAAAAAAATATATACTCGGCGCACGTGACGAAGTGATTTCATTCGGGTTATTATATACTGTATCTCGACTTTGCCTCGAGGCGTAAAATTATATGTTCACATGGGAGATACGTGATGACAAAGTGATTTCACTAGGGCTGTTATATATATATATATATATCTCCGATTTGCCTCGAGGTATAAAATTATTTTCCCACCAAGATGTGAATGAGGGATGACAATAACTCATTCACGAGAACAAATCGGCGATATGGTTAAAAACAAAAACGTCAGAGGACCTCTAAAAGTAAAAATTTCATCGCACTTATTCATGTTTTGGGATTGCTTTCGTTATTTTTGGATCAAGCATAACGTAAATTTTTAAAGTGGCCGAAAATGTTATGAACAAGTTTTGGAAATAAAGAACAAGGAATGATGGTGATTCAAGGCTCATTTAAAAGCGGCCTCGTGGTAATAAGTGTTTCTTTTGATCCGTGCCCGGAAATCTGTAAAGATTTTATTAATCTTTACGTATCTTGATCATATAATTAATTCCGCTGTTATAAAAAAAAAGAATGATTAATCACCAAAAGCAGCTCGTAGTACATGCAAAACAGCTGTTCCCTTGTCCCAGCTGACTGGCGGACGTGCCTCCAGGGCACAGTGCGCAGGTACGCAAAGGAAACCAGCGTCGCGAATCACTTGACTAGCTTCTTTGATGAGTTTCTGATGGGAGGACTTGGGGGCCAGGCGATAATGCAACGTCACCACTGGGCCTTTATCTTCCAAGTAAGCCCCGTCTGGACACAGTAGCTCCAACTTTTCCTAAAATGATGGATATATAATGTAGGAAATAAAGATTAAATCACTCATATACATAATGCTAATACAGTCAAACCTCTCTAAGTGGAATTTCAAGGTAACAGCAAAAAAATTTGACTTTGAGAGGTTTTAACTTATATAAATGTTTTGAATTATAGACTAAATAGACGTTTGAGTTAAAATACAAAGCCATATTTTCTGGGAAACATGGAAAATTGCCCAAAAATAGTAAATTGTGATATTCTGGGGCTTAAATGGCTTCTTAATTGAGTTGAATATTTTGCTGAAGAGAACCCCTATAACATGCAGAGAGAACCCTATATCATGGGATCACAAACAAATTTGTTATACAGAGAAAATTGTCGTAGACAAGGTTGTTGTAGAGAGAGTACACCTGTATTGGTAGTATACAAAGGTTGTCCCACTCCCACAAGTCCAGAGAAATTCTGACATTGCGGAACATTTTAAAAATTTCCCTGGTGATTTTCAAAAATTTGCTTTTCTTTTTTAGAATTTAAAGACATTTTTGAGACACTAAATAATGGAAAGTGCAAGCTTACCAGTTAGGGTCAGAGTTCCCCACTTATTTGACATCATGGTGAACATATCATGTGAGTAAAAAAATTGAAATTTTGTCGTTGTGTATACTGTATAATTATATTTCTCATAGTTTGTGAAGATTTTATACATTTTGGATTAACATTTTTCTTGTAATAAATGGAAAATGCCAAACTTTCGGGGTTGGCAATTACATAAGGCGTTAATTCACAATTTTTTGAAACAATTACAGTAGTTGCAAAAGATAATTTTAATGCTTTACGAGTACAGTCGGTTTTTCAATGAATCAAAGTTTGATTTGAATTCCGCGGTTCTGGAAATTGCTGAATAAAAAAATTAAAACGTAGACAAATTAATCCGGCCTACTACCTTCATAGCTGTAATGCCAAAATATAGTGCTGTACTGTATATGAGAAAAAGGCATATTCCAAGCAATTACTTAAGCATGCAATTTTATGTACCCAAAGGAATCTCTTACCCTTGACCTCTACGAATTTTTATTCGATTTTAAATACGCACCACAACGACTGACGAAGACATAAACAAATATGATTAATCTTCAGCTCTTACACGAACGCAGACACGCACCTTAATGGTCTTCAATTCTTCCTTTTGTGCGTCTTCCACGGGATACGAGTACATTTGTCCGTCCGGGTAAATAATGTCCAAGCCATCGTTGCCAACGTACGTGATTCCTTCCAAGTTGATCAATCTCTTGATATCGTCCACATTTCGACCAGTGATGATGGCGATGAACACGTCTTTTAGTCTGTGATGGTTCGATTCAAAATGAAGACGTCGTATTCAATCAAAATGTTAACATTTTTTCCATCAGACGAAGATACAGCTGAAATCGATTACCGTAATAAAATGAATTAGGCTGGTTTTCCAAACGTCAGTATTTTATGAAATTGAACAATGAGTTTGATCAAAATATTAAATTGATCAATTCTAAACTCGGTGAGCATATTTGAGACAAGAAACGAAATATAAGAAATTAATGAGTCCTTTATTACCGAGATAATCGTTCCAGAACCTTTTTGGTTTCTGGTGGAAGCAGGGCCAGGTCGGGACGTGGAGCAATGGGTGCCAAAGTGCCGTCATAATCGAGTAACAAGGCCAGTGTTCTTTCTGGGCCGACAAAATCCGTGAGGTAATCAAAATCATCGACAATCAATGGCGTGATGTTCGAACTCCTCATGAACAACGGATCGGAACCGTCATCGTCCGTTGGCTCGAGATTGTGCAATTCCATGCCTCTGCAAAATGAATATTCACAGGATTTGACGCGTTAATTATTTTGCACTAAATAATTTTGGTCTCTCATGGAAAATAAAATGAGATTTAATTTTAAAAATCCACACACGCAGTGACACATTGCAAAACAAGCTTAATGAAACCCAGGGGACAATTTTTCAGCAAATTACTGCTGATCAGTGAAATTATCTGGACGTAAATTCTATTCATGTTTCTGTTGATTCTGTTGGTTTCAGAAGCAGTCATACCTGAAAATCGCCGTCTAACGTAAGAAGCCATTAGATACCTTATTCTGATGTTTTTAATGATCATTTTCGCGCCTATTTAATTAATATTTGTCAAACATGCGTGAGGGCTTTGAAAACTTTTTTTCAAAAAAAAAAAAACTTCTTATAATGGGTTCCATAGTTTTATCCCATTCATCCAGAAAGTTGTAGATGCATCAAATCTAGCTGTAATATGTATATACACGTATTATCCATTTATTGGCTTGTCTGATACAATTGAAATTTTGCATTACGGTTGTATTAAAGCAGGAAACGAAACAGATTCTGTAGGCGCTCTTTTATACGGAAAATAAATGCATTCGAGTACACTTAATGTTATACTTTTCTTCATTAGCTTCACTTGCTCTTGAAGCTAGAAATTACTGGCTTTTAAGAAAGATAAAATTGGGACCAAAAATTACTTGCACGTTGAAAAATGTCAGGAAAATTTAAATAGAGCCAGCCATATTGGAAGTGAAAATTGAGAAGCAATTCGTGGAGTTATAGCCAAATACTGTACAGCAAAGAATTTCGCGCAAAATCAGAGATTTTCATCAAAAAACCTGATGAAAGAAAGAAATGAAAAATGTTTGCAGCTCTTAATTCATTGAGGGTCACAAAGCAAGGCACAATTTACGCACATTTTGCGCCTGGTTTTAAAAATCAAAAAAATGAAATCTTTCGTTTTTTTTGCGAGAAAATTTACCTCAAAAATGAGTACAGCCAAAAATCGACGTTGTTGACTTCTTCGCGTCGTCTCAAATGCATCATTCGCATGACTCTTTCGTCTTCGGACATGCTGAGTGCTCTGTCTAAGGCGTCACAAACATCTTCCTTCTCGTAAGGATTGCAAGTCAGTGCTTCGTGCATCGTCTCTCCGGCTCCAGCAAAAGGCGACAGGATCAAAACCCCAGGATCATGAACCTTTGCATAAGGAAGTACAGTATTTTATACAGTCGATACGTGTATACAGACTCACTTTGAAGCTCAGAAAATATATTAAATAGCTCCTTTTCCTGCATATAATGAATAGAATCCCTACGAAATGCTCAAATCTCCATGAGAATTTTTTTTTCCAGAAAAAATCATTCCCCGAGGAATTTATCCCCAAAAACGGATTTCCTGTTTTTGTATACGCAATCGATTTTTGCCACCGCACCATCATAAAGGAAAAGAAAAAATTTTGAATTATTTTGAAATTTATTATTTACAGAAAATGTAATCGAAAATCAGTTTGCAGATGTCAAGATAATTCAGAAAACTGGAGAGAGAAGAGTTTGTCGGTTCCAGCGAGTCTGAAAAGCCATCATATAGCCTCAACCTATAAGATTAATTTGGAAAGCCGTCTTTTATTACTAAAATGGTCCCCCTTTTTATTGCAAATACTTCATATACTGCGGTAATTCTGTGGCTCACAATTCGAAAATTTTTCCAGATGTATACACTTTTATTCTACAGCACACATTTTTATAAAAGAAAGCCGCGAATTTTTTGCTCACTATATAGACCCATGCTGAATACCTAAGATGCGGGTTGAAACCGGGATACGAAAGCAAAGAAAGTAAACTTCATTCCTTTCCAGCAATTAATTATACAAAAACAACCCGTGTGTGTCTGGTTCAGTTAAATTATGATGCGGGTGTAATTAAAATACGATGGAATGATCCGCAAGTTTTGTACGTACCCTATATTATTTCACCGTGAAGTTCTTCGGGTACCCGAATTTATGAGTTAATTGAATCTAAATTTGCGTGCGTGTGATCAATTCAACGATTATATTTTGAAGCAATCCTATGCTCATTTGCTATGGATTTTATTTTATTTTTCACAGTCGGACGACTTAATTCTTGTGCAGCATTTTAAATTTAAGTCAATTATCCACACACAAAAAATTTACCGACGCAGAAATTATACTTGAATACCCGAAGATTCGCATCTGCATCGGAAAATGGGTATCAGGAGTGCGATACACGTTCTCTGACTAACATTTGGAATAGTTTTTTTTTTTGCGCTCCATCGGTACTATTTACAAAATCATCAATGCAGCAGAAGTTGGAGCACAATAACAACTTATTTCTTCGCAGTTTTAAAGAAAGTCTTCAGCTCTTTATCTATTTTTTTAATTTAAATCTGAGTGAGCAATAATTGAAAAAGTGAGACGAGATGCCCGAGAATGGTCGAATATTAATCGGCGAAGATTTTGTCCCTCTCCATCACACCATAAGAACAACGCGAAAAAAACTCGCTAAATCGGCCCTCGTGAGTATAATTTTTGATGGATATTATGGGAATAGAAAACGGGTTCATATACAGTACAGTATTTCCATAATGTACTGATGTATACTGTACAAAATACACATATATATACAGTACCTGACATGCGACATTCCCTCATCTCCATCACAAAGTGTAAACAAGGCAAACAAGACTCGTTAAATCGGCCCTCGTGAGTATAATTTTTGATGCATATTATGGGAATAGAAAAGGGTTTCATATATACTTCAATAATGTACCAATGTATACTGTACAAAATACACACATAGACAGTACCTGACATGCGACATATTCCTTTGCAACGAGGTTCATTCCGTCTCGCAGCGGAGTGACGAGAGCAACTGCAGAGTCGCGGTAAAATGCTGCAAGTTGCGACTGGGAAATTGATCCGAAGATGTATCTGATGGGCGACCAGGAAGGCGACGAAAATTTCCCGTTGATGCGTCCGATCAACTGGTCCAACTCGTTTTTCAGGTCCTTTTTTTTATCAGAACAAGGGGAAAACACAAGGCGGAAATTAAAAATTGTAGCCAATACAGGTTATGACCAAGGACGTCAAACAGCTCTCCAGAACAGCAGCTTAGTGGAAAAAGTCGCCCAACAACTTTTTGCTGTTGAAAGTTTTCATTCAAATGGTTCTCCTGACCATACAATTTTATACCATTTGAAAGAGAATTGAACAAGCTTTCATTTAGTGTTTTTTTCATTGCCACAGCTCAATTTTCTGTTGAGCTATTTCAAGTAAAAAATAGTTTCACTTTTCTTTGGCCCACCCTGTATATTCAGGGTGTCCCCTGAAAAATGTGTTCCCAGCCATGACTGGATGATTGCCGGCATTTTATTCATGAATCTGTCATTTTGTGGGAAATTGAACTCATAAAAATTTAGTAGATTAAAAAATTAATCTAAAAACCACGTTTTGAAAAAGGAAAAAATAACTTTAAACGTGGTGCTCATCTATTTCATTTGTATTTCACTTCTTCCCAACAATCTCCATGCACTCCACGTTTAAAGTTATTTTTTCCTTTTTCAAAACGTGGTTTTTTAGATTACTTTTTTAATCTACTAAATTTTTTGTGCTTTTTAGTCTGACTTGAAAAATGTGGTTTTTTAGATTTTTTTTAATTGACTATAATTATTTTATTCTTTTTAAAAATAGATTAATTTTTTAATCTACTAAATTTTTTGTGCTTTTTAGTCTTACTTGAAAAACGTGGTTTTTTAGATTAATTTTTTAATCTACTATAATTATTTTATTCTTTTTAAAAAATATTCTTATAATTTTTCTTTTCACAAAAGATTGCATTGTCATCAGTTTCTAAGCTATCCTGAAAGTTTCAGCTTGCTAGCTAGTTTAAAAAAAATATTCTTATAATTTTTCTTTTCACAAAAGATTGCATTGTCATCAGTTTCTAAGCTATCCTGAAAGTTTCAGCTTGCTAGCTAGTCAGGAAGTGAGCGAAATTTGAGTTGCAAAATTTGATCCAGACAAACAAACGGACAAGAAAGCAAGTTAATAAAAACGTGTTAAAAATGGCTATGAAGAACAAAGAAGTTTGAATGTATCCCATGGAGTCTAAAAGCATTCATTATTATTCCATGTTTCGTAGAGTACAGTACAGTAGTAATGCGTTGAATTTTTTTACATTATCTCAGTCTGTTTTGATTGTCAAAAGAAGCTGAATAACTTACTTGGTATTCCTTGACATCCGTCCTTGAAGGAACAGCAACTTGCAAGAGACTGACTTGACCAATGTACTTGGGATATTTTTCGAAAAGGAGCTCGAAGGCCTTGACTCTCTCCACAATGCCTTTGGTGTAGTCCAGCCTGTCGACACCCAGAACTACTTTCTGAGTGCCTCCCATTACCTAAATATATTCAGAAAAAAATGGATGAAATAAAGTAATGAAGTGACAAAATATTGGGCTTTCAGGATGAGAGGAAACATTTTTGTCACTTGATCGCGAGAAAAATTAGTCTCGCGTTGACTTTGTAGTCCTCACAAATTACGGAAAGTTTCTTATTACCATGATTAATTTCATTAATGCAAGGATATACAGTACAGCATTTTTTCCAATCTGTGATCATTCAATATGAAAATTTTAAATGATGGGATCGATTTTTCCTGAGGAAATGCAGAAGTTGAGTAATTGTTTTCAACTACCACAGCGAATTTCGGGTGAATTTATGTCAGCTCGTGCTGTTCTGCTTCAATCGTTTGAGCAAAGTAATATGAAGTACATATGGAAGGTTGCATGCTTAGATTACTGTTGAAAGATTCAAATTCTTGGAAAACAATTTGTTTAAAATTTTGGTTCATGTTTTCTGAAATATTACCGAGATTTCCATGTGGTACATTATTTATTTGAGCTGCTCATCCGTTTATCCGAATGAAGTGATACTATATATAGACGTTGAAAAAGGGATTCGTGCTTCGGTTATTTTTTAAATAATGCTGTACTGTATTAAATTTATCGAGAAACAGTTAATTTGAAAAATCGTCTTATTTCTCAAAAATCAAACAAAATTCCACATAAATTTCCTCGAGTTCCTGTTTTGCTTCGAAAACAGTAATTCGTCGATAAAAAGGGGTTCAATTCATGCTTCATTCGTTTACAGAATGGTTGAAACATTAAAATATTGCAAGTATTTAAAAACAAGTACAGTATTTAAAAAAAACTCGGGTTCTTCTTTCTCAAAGATCACAGCGAATTCGACATCCGTTTATTTTGGCTCATTTTCCGTTCCAAGCGAAGTATTTCGGCGATGAAAAGGGCTTCATGATGCTTAGATTATTTTCGAAATGTTCAGATTTTGGAAAAGCATCACTTAGTTCGGAAATTGGCGTTTCTTGCCGATTTCCGAATGCAATAAAGTTTCAGCACGATCTATTTACCCTCGGTGCCTCAAGAGCGAGTTGCTCAAATCTTTTGAAGGGGATCCCAATAGGAAGGGGTCGGACTCTGACGGTTCGGAACCCGTGTTCCACAAGTAAATGCGTGGAATCCACTCTGCAACCCAACAACCTCCGACAGCAATCCACAAAGTTTTTACAATAGTCTTCTACGTGGAAGCCCAGCATTCCGCATCCTGAACATATGGCAAAATGACGAGATCGAGAGGAAAAAGACAATCGAAATCAGTCAATAGTTGGCAAAAGCTCATTTTCTCATGCATTTTGCTCTAATCACAGCATTATCAATAATTTATCTTCATTTGAACGAAACTTTCGATGGAAACTCACGATATTCTCTGAATGTGATGATATATCCCGCATCAAAATACGCAAGCATACTTGTAAATTTGAAACACGTATCCAAAAGCTTCAGAATACGAGAAAGAGAATAATTGACCGGAAGTCCGATGGGTTCAAAATATAGAACATTGTAAAGGAAGTCCTACAGAGATTTTCATAAGTCGAAAGCCATTCTTTCTTTTTCTTTAAAAGGAAAAGCATGCTGTAAAGAAAAAGAAAGGATAATTTTTCTCTGCAGGGCAAAGCATTACATATTCTTGAGGAGCATCTTATTCACTAAAGCAACAAATGGTATATGAAGACAAGAAAAATGCCCTTAAAGTAAGAACCCAGAATTTCCGTAGACTAGGGCAGAAAAAAAGAAAATTGAAGAGTCTATTAAACGGCTTGATCATAGGTCTTATATGTGCCAATACTAAGTAACCTGAATATATTTTGCAGAAATAAGTCTCGAATTTACCATGTTTGAACAAGTACCATGCCCTTCTTATTCCCTCATGAAATTTGGACCAAATATATTGGGAAGCACATGGAACTTGGGTACGCATTTTTCTGCATGATTCGTAAGGCACAGATGTCGCTACAAGTATTAACCTCATACACAAATCTTCAACAAAAAGTTGAACTTGGATTGGAATTTCCCCAATCCCTTTCAGTCCTCCATTTTTCTAACCCTTCAAAGTTCATTCTTGAGATTTCTTGTGTAGCCTTCATAACCTTGCAAGCCTCATTTTCTGTGTGTGCCAAATTTGTTCATATATTCAAAATACTGTACATTATATGTTCCTTTGGGATACTTACCAACGTATACCCTGCCAAGTTCCCCAGTGGATTGTGTGTTTGCCTTATTTTCATTCAATTCCTTATTCTTTGTATGGGCCTTGAACAACAGGAGTATTCAAATTTTAGTCTGTTTAGTATTCAAGAACACTTTAGTTGAAGTTTATTTTAAATACTATAGTTAGAAATTAAAATGTGTATAATTGTATTCTATCTATGCTCAAAAGAAAATGCAACTCAATTGAGTTAAATTAAGGGTTTCAAATGAACAAGTTCAACAGATACTGTATATTATCTCAGATAAAAAATAAAACTTTGAGACAAATAAAATACATTTGGATTTTCTGATTGTGTGCTGAGTATAAATTAAAAAATTGAGCTAGTGTAGTCCCTGGAATATAACGAAAATCCACTGAACATCCGAGTCTTTAATTTTGCGGGGATACTTTTTGGCCAAATTTTCAGCTAAAAATCCAAGCGCACGTTTCACATCATGATCGCGTGTGTTGCACTCGATTAAATGAGTGGTATTCAATAATTCATTTTTCAAAGCAAGCAGGTAATCACGTTCACATATGGACGCTTCATTGATTTGTTCATTTTTAATTTAAAAAAAAAATATACCCACCAAGAAGCCCAAGCAAGATGTCAGCACTCCTGGGGAAAATGCGGAAAATATCCCATGGCGGAAACGGGATGTGAAGGAAGAATCCCAGCTTTATGTGGATATCCTCTGCTTCAGCCAGTTCTCGGATCATCGAAGGAGCCAGCATCAAATGATAGTCGTGGATCCACACCAAAATCTCCTCATCTTCGTCCGAACGTTGTTTCAGGAGCCTCACGGCAGACATCACCTTTTCTGCAAACTTGTTGTTGACCTCAACGTACGCCTGCATTTCCAAAATTTCGAAAGTGGACGAGAAAAATATATTTCGATTCATCGCTCCTCACTCAGTACTCCTTGATGCGAAGGAACTAAATTCAAAATGTTCACAAACGATGTTGGTCCAAAAAAAATAAAAGTAAACTTCATTGTCTTATGAATGGCCATCACATTGGAAAACAGAATTTAACTTTTACTCTTCACTTCGTCATTTAAAAAATATTCAATTATACGCTCGTAAATATGTGTCTATGAAAAGAACGCACTTTTAAGTAAAATGTGCCTTTATTTGGAAAAAGTAGAAAAGCTAGATACAGTAGTAATAAAACAACCTTTTGATTTAATAGCTCCTTGATTTGAGGTCCTAAGTTGAAAATTTACGCAAAAAAAATATTGATGGTCCAAAAAGTCAATAGTTGAGCTTCATTATTTCATGCAAGATTCAAGTCATGCCATAATTTTCCCGTTGTAATGAATTTCATTCATGAAATTTTATTCATAAATTATTGAATCACGGGATGTGCTCACGACTCACGAATTTTTTCGCATAAACAGTGCGACTTTGAATAACTTATTGTAAAATGGTCTGTATCGAGCAAAACGTTGACTTATTAATTGCAATTCTATGTGAAAGGCGTTTCAAAAATTGTATAAAACATTTTAAGCAAGAGAAAAATAAACGAAGATTCCTACGGCAGCAGATTTTCCTTTTCTTATTTCCTTCTGAAGATTATTTCATTGCTTTGAATTCATTTTTTTAAGAATAAAAAACTTCATCTAAATGTTATTGCAGCTCGAGCATTTTACAATACTTTTATTTCTCAAGATCCACGCCGTATTTAAATTTGTTGAAGCCCGATTCCTGTACCAGTTTCAATCATTACATTGCGATTGATCACGAAGAAACTCGAGGCGCGGTGTAAAAAACAAAAACAAAACTTCGACATGACAAATTCGGGATATGTTTGTAACCCGAGGGACTGCTTACATCATAGTGTTCGTGTTTGAAGGCGGCTCTGTCAGGCATGGAATGGAACAGCGGCCAAAAAGTACCATTGCAGCAACCGTTGTAATAGTATTCAAATTCGTCTCTTTCCAGGGAAACCGGGAAAATCTGAAAGATAAAAAGATTGATGAAGGATTTGTCGTAATTCATATTAGTCGATTGCGGGGGACATGTCATTAATTATAGTGAAATCTCGTTACAACGAATTATAGTTTAAATTGAATTCATTTTTGACGTTTCTCGAGTATAGTACAGGGGATTCTCTCTTTATCTCTACAACGAACTTTGAGGGACCAGAAAATATCACTGTATAGAGAGAATTTCCTTGTACAAACGCCGTATAAAAACAAATTATTTATACAGAGAAAAATTGTTGTAGATAGAGTCCAACTGATGTATCCAAGCAAATTTGCCATATTGTAACAAGGGATTTTTTCTTCCCAAGCTCTGAAAGGACTTTGTTGTACACAGCTTTTACTTTATTGATTTTTTCTTTTGTTCTTACTTGTGCTGAGGTTATTCCAGCTGTGGGGGTGTTATCTTCGGGGTCTGCTTCTGGAATTGGCTCTTCTGCCTCCTTGCCAAATAAGCCAGACCAGCCAACCCAGAGTCCACCAGAGTCTGCTACCACTGGTGCAACTGCTGTCACCAAACCCCCAGCACTGTTTTGGTCCAAAGATGCAGGGGTTATGGAAAATAGATGCGTCATCACTTTACAATAGTTTTTTTTCTGGTTGTATGCAGCTTAACATGAATAAGCCTTTACATCAAGATCCTTTGTGAATACACTCATAACAGTCCAACCTCTCCAAATCAAAAAACTTAGTACCAATAAGTCACCTAAAAACCAATATACTGTACTGTACTGTACCATAAACCTCATCAACTTATTTTTAAAAGCCTTTGTACCATGAACTGGGAATACATTTTTGAAACACCGGGTTCAAGAAGCCCAGGAGAGCAGGTGTAAATTATTATCTTCATGCTTTTTCCAAGAAATTTCTGAAGTTAGGACATCTAAAAATGATGAAAACTTCAGAGAATAAGGCTAGAAAATAATTTTTGCTTGACAATCTCTAACTAACAAGGCCATATTCCCACTCTCAAGAACTCCAAAAGACAAATATTTTGAAAGTAAACTCAAATGAGTCAAAGAAGTTCAGCTGTGTTTGATTCCCACTTGGAGAAAATGAGGGAAGTCTATAGTGCTTTATGTATTAGATGGAAATAAGCCAACAGGCTCACTGTTGACTTCCTCCCAATAAGTCCAGCAGGAATACTTTCCATTAAGGCAAACATTTTTGGGAGTATATTTTCCCAATCACAGATTTATATTCTGATTGAATAAAAAAGGGGCAGGTATATAGGGATTGGTAAATACAGTATACGTTTCCCAACTGTTGCTTCCTTCTTGATGGATATATGAAGTTGACCTACTAATATTTGATGAATATCCTGTCTTATGCTATAAATTATTTTAAATGGAAATATTCTAGAAAATTAGATGTGCGTTCCACACCTACAAAGAAATATAAGGTTTAAGGTTTGCATGCAACACTTGCTTCACAAATTTTGCTGCAAGTTGAATGTTCTTCCCTTGTATTTTTGGAAACAAATCTTGATGCACATAAAGTACCAGAAAAAAATAGAGTAACACACACACCTTTTCTCAAATAAATTGGGCAAAAAGTGAGGTGCGCGTCATAGTCTGCAGGTACACAATTTCAAGCGACATTTTCTTTAAACATTTGAAACTTTTTTTCCCCAGTATCAAAAACGTGCGAGTTCTCTATATTGATGATACAGTACTATCATTAGCATGAATAAGAAAATTGCCATTAGATACGATTTTTAATTGGACCTTAATTCAGATTTTTATCCTGCACATTTTTTTTTCCAAATAGGAATTTTGGTAACAGAAACTAAGGTGCGTGTTTTATGCGGGGATAAATTTTTTCAAAAAATTGTATTTAATTATGTATAAGGTGCACATCTTCCGTGAGTGCAGGTGGTACTCGAGTAAAGTACAGTACTGTACACAGCGAGACCCCAAAATGCAGACACCCCAACATACAGACAATTTCACTTGGGGAAACTTGAAACTAGCTGACCCAACATCTGGACAATAATTCAACTTACGGACATTTACCCACCATTTCTGGAAATTTTTTTTTATTCTGTATTATAGATTTGTTGAAGAAATTGAGTTATTTATAGTTACAAATACTAAAAATAAAGGTTACCTTTTAAATTTTTGATCACATGTGCTCAATATAGCATAACTTGTTATTGTTCTTTGCTTCTTGAGCTTTTTCTGATGTAAAAAGATCATATTCTATGTGGTTTTATTTTATACATTTATCTTTTGTACTTTTAAATTGATAAAATTATTTCTTTCTAATTTTGGGTAGACTTTTTCTTAATTTTTGATCTACACGAGAACCCATCAAAAATATTTCCATTGAAGTCAATGGGAAAATGAGGTCAGACATGCGGATGTTCCAACATTAGGGACACAGTTGATGCACCAAGTATGTCCACATCTCAGGGTCCCATGGTAAACAGTGAGACCCCCCCATGCAGACACCTTGACATGTGGACAATTCAACATAGGAACACTTCTTTTCCAAACAAAAAAAAAATTAACAGAAAAGGCATGACATGTGGACACTGACTTGACATATGGACATTGTGTGATAAAATTGCAAATAAGTTTCAGGCCAAATTACAAGAAACAGATATTTGCAACCTTAGAATTGATGTAAGAACGGTTCTTTGGCATTTCTCTCGTCAAGTTACCATCCATTTAGCTAATTATAAAAAAAAAGTATATTCTGCGGACATCCATCATTTATCCCACTGCTGAAATTTCGCATGCTGAATTGTCTGTGATTCATTTTCAATACATGCATATAGAAATCGTCGATTTACCTGGAATGACGCTGCCAATTCCCGTTCGGTCCCCGTTTCAGCACAAACGGCAGCCGATTCGACACAACAACAGTGGGAGGGAATTTCGGCTTGACGTGTTTCTGGAACGGCAGGCTGCCCCTGCGGCCCAGGTCAGAGCTGTACCTGCGACCCAAGTCCCCGCGAAATTTTGGCGGAAAGTTGAGCATTTGCGATTCTTCGCTCATGATGTTTTCTTTTTTCTTTCTTCTCCCCCACTCACGACGACACTTATTATTATTATTATTATTATTATACCGTGTATTTTCGTAAATTTGATCTTCACGGACTGTGGTTCCCGTGGCAACTGAATGGGGACTGCGGGGACTTTTTTCCCTTATTCCGCTCGGCGCCTGTATATAAAACTGCTGGTGCCTGCGACGTGACAGTGTTGCCAGCAGATACACAATTATACTGAGTTCCCGCAATCTATCTAGAACCAGTATTTGGAGACGAGCGATGCAAAGTCGATTCATGCCACTGTTCTTGAGATCCGTATATATTACTGTATTTACTCAAGTACGACGCGTACATTTTCATTTTCCATCAATCGGGAAGAAAAGATTGGGTGCCTTTGAGTATACACGAAGTTTTGGTCAAGCTTATTTTGAATTTTTTTTTGTAAGCATTTTCATCAGAAAAAAATTGATTGCATCTGATTCTCGTATATTGTATAAAAAATTAGGCAAGTACAAATAGGTTCATTATTATTGCAGTCCTCTACTTCTCTGTCGAGAGTATTCTTGGATGCATGAAGCTTATCCTAATATTTTTATTGAGCAATGCTTAATAAAATATCCTGTCCATCGTTTCAACTTTTTCAATTCAGATGAGCTAAAAAGATGAACATCAGGGCACATTATCCCTGCGAGGGAATGTGGAGTCAATTCGCAGCATCACTTTCTTCATAAATTTTGCAAAAAGTGAAATAAAGTGCTAAAAAAAATCCAGATTAAAATAAGAACATTCTCACAGAGTTATGGTGTAGATGTAATATATCATATGACCATCATTCGACGAACAACAACACAGTTCTGATCTTGGTAATTTTTTGTGTTTGTTATGCTGAATAAGAAGGTTTCCGTAAATTCACGCAAGTAATTTATTCATATTTTCAAAACATCGTTCACGTGCGGAAGTTCCTTTCTTGTTGTTCTCTACAAAATCTGTCCAAAAATAGGATGAGAACTGCTCATGATTTAAAAAATCCGTCTTTCTCAGCAGGGACCACGTATATATTCCACTGAGAAAATACAGGAGTTCGCGATTAATATCAAATCTAAATAAGGCGCCTTTGCAGATTTATTCTTCATCACATTATTTCCAAGACAACGGAAAATAATTTGTTTCTATGTGATTTTAGTTGGCTACTGTATTTTTTCAACCCTATTATTCGTCAACAAATGTTTCCCTCACTCTTCGACTACGTAAAATTACACCGCAAAAACTTTGCAACTATAGTAAAGCTTTTGAAAAAGTATCTGCACAAAGTGTTCCGCATATTCGCTCAATAAATCATCGACAATAATATAAACGAATTAGGAAAACATATGAATTTTGTCCAATTCGACCAAATTGAAAAATTGAAGATTAAAAAAAAGTATTTGTTCATCTTATAAAAAACAAAAACACCAGCAAAATGTCGTCGGCGTATTAAATAAAAATCGATCAAATTGTTCCCCATATGCACTCAATCAAGTCTTTTTTTAAATGTGAACGGAGTAGGAAACACATTTTGAAGAATGATGTCCAATTCGTCGAAATCAACAAAATAGAAGATAATAATAAAGACACCAGAAAGAAAAAAAAAAAGTGTCGTCGATGCTGCATCAAAGTGAACTTTTCCCAAAGGAAGCACACAATATATGATCCACAAGAATGGACTCACCTGAATGCTAAGAAGGTTTCTCAAGGTGAGCCCTGTCCCTGGCTTCATAAACAATTTACATGCCAGATCCCTGATTGCAACCACGAAACGCCTTCAGACGAGATGCAGATGAGCCCATCCAGTTGCTAACAGATGGTGAATAACCTGATCCCGAAGCCTGCGCAGTCAGTTTGAATTTTTACATTCCTTATATTCAAACCCAGCGATCGACTTCGAACATTCTAAATTGAACCAGACGCGGAAGAAAACATGTTATTTATGCTCAGGGAAAAGGAAAAAAAAACTTTTAGCCCCGCAATCATGAATGAATAGGCACGGTTTTTAGGGAATGATGATAATGAAGTAAAATTTCATTGCACCCGACTTCATAAAAAGTTTGTTACGCTGAATAATTTTTTGTATCACGATTTTGAAAAATAAATGACTGGAAAAATGTTTACATCAGACCTAACTAAATGATTAATCAGCAAAAATTACTGAAGACTGGAAAACTGATGCAGATAAAACGGACATTTTTCCTCCTTATTTTAGTCAGGCTAGCTGTCAAATAAAATTCAGTATGGTCTAAATTGTCTGCGAGGTAAATCAGAAAAATTTAAATTTTCAGAGGGTGGAATTTTGCCCCAGGCCCCAACCAATGTTTCCTACCTAGGTAAAGGTTGTAAGTCAGTGTAAGAGCTCCGCAAAAATGCTTTGCCAGCTGGAATATTGGCAGGGTATTTAAAAACAATTATTTCTTCTCCCAAATAAATCATTTTATTAGCCACATTTTTCAACCAAGACTCCACTGCAAATACTGTATCTCAATTTCCATTAGACTTCCTTCAAAAATAATCCAAATTCCAACCTAAAAAACTATTAATAAAAATTTGAATTCTGATTTATGAAATTCTTCCCTTCAAATCTGAATATACTGTACAATACAAAGAAATATGAAAATGTCAATTTGTTCAAGTAAATTTAATTTAAACGACCCAACTTATGCTGTAATGTGTCATTTGATTAATTTGCTTGAACAGGCCATCACTAGGAAACTTGAATGCAAAAATATTCAAACTAGGATCATTCGTAAAATTCCTCCTGTAACAGAAATATTGACAAAATCTCCACACTAAGTTTATGCGGATGTTACCTTTGCTTAATTTATTCGATCTAAATGTGTCCATGTCTTCTTTGCCAAAATGCTTTGACCACGGAACAAGTTTTGACACTGGATTCAACCTTAGAATACTGTACTATATGATTGACTTGTGTTATGATCTTTCTTCCTTCACTTGCAAGGATGATACAGTATTCCATTCTTCATAAGAGTTTGTCAGGTCATTTTTCAGCAGAAACTCTCCCTTTGGAGGTGGGCAATTTTTCTTTAAATCATAGGTCACAGTTCTTTACATTAGTGGCTATTGTACAGTGAAATTAAGTTTTTCCACATCGGTTAATAGAGTACAGTATCTGAAAACGTTCAGATAGTAACTGGTTTACGTAACAGGGACCCTTGAGAAGCACTTCAGCGTAGGCATAGGTAGAAAAAAAAAGCAACTCCAACGATGATGTGTAATTAATCAGCATTCACGGCTACAAATGGAACACTTGTCAGGCTTCTTGATTAAAAATTCAGCACTGCTGGAGAATGTAGCTCATCTTATTGTACTAGTGCAAGGAACGAGTTTACCGTCCGAGAGCGACAAGCACTCAGTGCAACGCTTGAAGTACTGTATTGTCATCACTCAAAAATAAAAATAAATAAATCCTACTGAAGTAGAAAAACACAAGCTTCAGCGTCATCCTGCCAATGAGCATGTGTTCATTCCTTTTAAAAAAAATCTTCGGGTAAGGTTTCTCCTAACGTTCCTGAAAGCCGTAGCCATACCGACTTGGATGTAAACTCATCAAGGACTAGTCCGAAACTCCAGTGATTCGCTTAGCAATACATCTGTAAAGCGCATGTCACCACTCCCCTCCGGCTCAGTGCCAATCTTACGCATGTGGGCTCATTTCGAGTTCGAAAAAGGTCATGGACCACATCAGTTAGGTTCATTCAGAAGAGATTCTCCAGAGTCAAATCGAGGCATCTGACGATGCCCCTCCAAAAATTGCCGTAGCCGACGGTATTTCACGTCGTCATGGCGGGGTATTGGGAATAGTTTTCAACTAGCAATAATCGCGCCTCGGATAAACCTCACTGGCTACGATATTGCCTCTGCGCAAAGCTGATTACTCCGAAGTCCGAAATTCAGTGCAGCTCCACGGAACGGAAACGTTAATGTTTAATTTCAATGACTAAGCCCCCTTTTTACAGCTTTATTTTACAAATTTAACAATAAAAAAATGTTTCCGTTTTTACTGACTTTATTACCCGACAGTTAAAAATATAAATTCAAATACTCAAAATCAGATAACTTTGAAAAAAATTAAACGTATGCTTCAAAAGAACCAATACTCACGCGACATCTGCTGGACGCTCACGAAAATATTCGATCCTCAACCGCAGACCGCCACGCAGCAGCATCAGCTTTTCGTGTCCTTGTGAGATACCACCATCATCATACCCCAGTTGAATTCAGTGTTCAGATGAGTCTCATTCTGCCTCGTGAGTTCCATCGCACAGTTCCTAATGAGTGAGTCAGGAAAACATGCGAAAACAATTCGAGTTGATTCCTTTCTCAAACATGATCTGTGCGCTCCTCAAAAATCTTACATCACCACTTATTCTTCGTTTAACATTTGGCATGATTTATCCTGTCACACTGCTGGTGGCTGGAACAAAACTTATGCATAACAGCACTTCATTGAAGTCCAGTCATCCCGTGAAACTGAAATAATAATTTAATGCTTTACAATACATTAAAATCAAAAATACTTCTTGAATGATCAACCAATCATTGCTCAACGATAAAACTCCGCGATTTAGGCAAGTGGATCGCCAAATATTGAACGAGCAAAATTGAAAATCTTATCATTATTTGTACTACGGCATAAGTTACTACTTCTGGTTTAAGTTCCTATCCTTCCTGGACTATGTAGTCCAGGAAATCACGTGACCCTGAGCCGGTTGAAACATGTGCGCTTTCGTTTAAAAATTTGGGAAATTACCTCGATCAGGATGTGGGCAACGCCTAAATCAAGGTACTGTACAGCAGTATATGTCACGGCATGTATTTGAATAAAATTGAACTGTTATTTTAGAAAATGAATGAAGTACAGAGAGACAACCCGGTCTGTATGCAATACGCGTTCTGCAATTGCTCTGGATTCGTCAACATAGCTCTGAATACGGTTTTATTGTTACTCCATCCAGGTTCAATGTCGGTTAAGTCGGGAAACGTTACTCGGTATTCGGTTCTTGTCTATGGCAGCACATTTCCTGCGTAGAAAAAACCTTGGGCTTACACAGAACGATTAAATCCTGAAAACTGCTGGAGAAGATCGAAGGATGGTCGCGATCTGAGCCAGCACCCATCACAAACCGTCACAACTGCCTCCGAAACATTGCCTATAGAAGCTCTTTGCAGAAAATATATTAGCTCAAGGTATATAAAGTACTTATTGTT